CTTCAAGTATGCTTAATGTAAAAATGTCTGAAGAAATTGTCTTATTGATTGAACTAAACGTAAGTCAATGTTGGTTTAATACTTTGGTTATTAATCTTCAAATATTTTGTTTTAGAGCCACTGGATGAGAAAATAACACTAAAATGGAAAATAAGCTATTACGTTTATACAAAACGTAATGAAATTTCCTTCTAAGCTTTTTTTTTTGTATTAACCTATTATTACTTGTATTATTAATATCTTTTAAAATTTACTTATACGTTTAAAAAAATAAATATTATCAATAAGATTAAATATAATTCTCACAAAAGAAACCGATTTAACACTAATATGAATGAATAAACGTAATAAAAATAATGATTCGTATGTAGCAGTTATCAACTGAGAAATCATTTGCTTCGGTTTGCATTGAACTAGAGATATCGAATTTTTTCGGTACATCTTTGAATCATTACTGTGTATTTAAATTTTTGTTCTCATCATGGCTACATATATAAATCATTTTAATGTTAAATATTTTTCGAACAGCCCACCCATTTTTCCAACTTACAACGGACTTAGATATCTCGACTTATTGCCTGATTCTGCATGGGACAATCTTTATTTTTTAGTAATACACCCGAGGGTTACAGATGCGTTAACAACCTTTTGAAAATTGGCTCCGGCTACCCCACTCACCAGACGAAACGCGAAAGTATTTGTCATACTTCCACTTTACGCCGGTCTTCTGTAAGGTCGCGGTACTTAGCCGGACGGGCCTGCCCATTCGTGCAACAGCCGAGGCTGCTGCGTGGACCTACCACCGTAAAAAGCAAGTTAAGTAACGTTGTTAAGTTTTAATGTTGTGTAGTGCTGCCAACTACACCGACGTTGATATATGATAACCATAATAATATAATGTTTATTTATTTATTTATACTTGAGTGTACACCAAAAACCAAAGTACAAATAAAATTAATGTTAGTACAATAGGCGGTCTTATGGCTCTGAAAGCGATTTCTTGAAGACAACCATTGCGAAAAGAATTGTTGCTTAAGAGACTTCAAGATGAGAGCAGATGGAGGTGTTTATGAATCTGTAATAAACACAGGATGAAGGCATTTATACATCAATGAAGTAGGCTAAAGTTTCGGGAAAAATAGGATAAAGAAGGAAAGCATGAATTCAGAGTTCCAAATGAGCTTTTACTAGGTTTTTAAAAGAAAGAAGAGACTTAGACACTGAGAGACATTGTCGTTGGGCAAGGTATCTAAATATTTATTTATTTATTGATTTATATATTGATTGAATTATATTCTATAAATTTGTCACCTTGTTGTAAACATACTTAAAAGAACTATCTCTACCCCATTAGAAGAGAATGTTCTTTGTTAAGCAAATGGACACAAATTTATTTAACATTTGTCGTGGTACATTTGGTGATTCTTGTGACATGCATAGTTTATACTGTACCGCCATTTTGCATAGAGTAATTGAAACTGTACATAAATGGAAACTGCGGTCTGTTTTGGGGACATACATTAAGCATGTATGCGGTGTGATGACTGAACTAAAATTGGGTAATGCGGTCGCGTATTGAACTCTGAATGGCATGCACTAGTGATTTTGCGAGTTTTAGATAATTTACGCGCACAGGGCAAATATACGCCTGATGTTTGTAAGTAAACTTTACTACTTTCCGTTGAGTTCAAAAGCTTAGGTTCGATGCTGCGACTGCTTGCGTATTCTATGAATTAAGATTGACACAGAGATACCTCACAATTTTCTCTGATTCTGAGAATATTGCGTCTCCAAGTACTTCCTGTTCTGTGTATATAAATATTTGCCTCATGATAGAAAGCAATCCCTTAAAGAAACAACGAAAAAGTAAAAAATTATCGTACGTAATACCATAATTACAACTAAATTGTGTGTCATGTGTGTTTGTATAAAACTTTAAAAACTCCAGTTCGTTTTCAAAAATTGTTTCAGCTATAACTTTTGAAATTGATCAATTAGAGGAAGGTTATTTTCGAAAGTAGACAATTGGCTACTTTCGAATAGCGATAATGACTACAACGAAAAGTAACAAATTACAGTATTAGCTCCTTATAAATTCTAAGGGCCAATTGTGAATAACAATTTACCATGCATAAATAATACTATAGTACCTGGATGACCTTTTTTTTTGGTAAATCATGTATTTTGGAAATAAAAAACATAAAAAATAAAGAAAATGATCTGGCATAGAAAAAAAAAGTTAAAAAAAATAAGTGTGTAAATGATCGTGATACGAACCGCGGCCATCTGTTTTTGGGCCGTCCGATTACCGACCGAGCTATTATTACTTTTTTTTTGCGGCGAAATTTACCGTCATATTCGAATGATATTTTTCATTCCCTGAAAACAGGGATAAAAGGACATTTTCTAAAAATGAAACCTAGATAGATCGATTTTTCGCCCCCGAATGTACGCAATTACTAAATTTCATGAAAATCGCTGGAGCCTTTTCCTGAAGTTGAAGGAGCTGGAGTCTTTTTATATATATATATATATATATATATATAAAAAGCGATATATATATATAAAAAGCAAGAATTGCTCGTTTAGAGGATAAGATTAGGACAGTAGTGATAATTGATGTCAGGTTTATTGTTAAATTTGAGAATGTTTATCTATTTTTTTTAAAAGCTCTGTAAGCAGTTTGGTCTCAGTGTTTTAACTTTTTATTCCTTTTCCTTTTCCTTTTATTTTTATAACTCAGAAGCTCAACATTTTTCGACCCCGGCGAATGGTTTTGTCACAATAGGCGGTTTACGAACGATACTCTTTCCGTCCTATGTTCCTTTTGTGTAGCTGAGGTAAGGAAAAAATAGGTTCGTGGGACAAATAAGAAATAACGGACTCTCCAATGTGCTCACGTGATATTCAATACAAACGACCCTGAACTATTCTTCAGCAAATACTCGAGAACGAATGTACCAAATGAAACTGGCCAAAAAGATTGTTTTTGCCTAGTTGCTTGTGACTTGGGAAGAAAACTCTCGTGCTCGTGAAAAATTAAAAAATTAACGAATGTACCAAATGAAACTGGCCAAAAAGATTGTTTTTGCCTAGTTGCTTGTGACTTGGGAAGAAAACTCTCGTGCTCGTGAAAAATTAAAAAATTAAACATATAGATATAATAGATTATAAAATTATTTATTAGATATAGATTATAAAGTTATTTATTTATTAATTATTTATTTGGAAAAAAAATCAGATCTATAGATATATTTGTTTTTTTTTTTAATTTTTTATATTCAAAACTGGCCAGCGGTTGACTGCCATCCCACCTGATGGTTAATGATAACCTGATATTTTATTAAGTTCATAGTTCTTTAGATATCTCCCTAAATAATAAACTTTGTTTTTTTTTTATGTGAAAAGTTGCCAAGTAAGCAGACGGCGAGAATACCGCCGCCCATGGACATCTGCTACCCGAGGGTTGCAGATGTGTTGACAACCTTTTGAAAATTGGGCTCCGGCTACCTCACTCACCAGACGAAACGCGAAAGAATTATACTTGCACTTTACGACGGTCTTCTGTGAGGTCGTGGTACTCACCCGGACGAGCCTGCTCATTAGTGCAACAGCCGAGGCTGCTGCATGGCTCTACCACCGTAAAAAAACTGTTAGTATGTTTGGAACTGGTTGGAATTTGATCTTCTTACCAAAGCCTAGAAGGCACCTCGATCAATCCATCTCAGCTATTTCATTAAATCTCAAGTAGTCAGCCGACATTTTATCAATTAGTTTGAGTATAAAATCAAAGGAGTATCCACCTAACGAGAAATCATCGCATAAGAAACTATCTAAGATGTTTATGGTTCTAGAACTATGTGTAACATATCTAGTACCTTGTGTTTGCGGTTATTATTTAGGTGTTTAGATTTTTGACGAAAATTTTGTTAAATAGTAGAGAAGGGGGTGGTAATTTGGAACCCCACTTTGATTTTTGAGTATTTTAAGAAAACTATTTGTCAGGGTCAAAGAAGTGTTGTAGGTAATTTGGAAACCGGTTCCATATTACCTGCATCTATCGCGTTCCAAAATTAAAATCTTGCTTTGTTACCAAATAATCAAGAAAACAAAAACTAGTTCAAATAAATTTAAAACTTACCTCTGACAATGTAAACTTATGCGTATATACTTCGTGTAACACCTACTGTATTTAATTTTAGACAGAAATAAAAGTTTTGACAGTATTAGGAAATAAAAGTAAAAAACTTTTGCAATGGACACAAAACTTCAACTTCTTTTAACAGGTCCAAACTCGATGTAAAAATGGCGCCAGTGGCGCTAATATGTTCAGTGACATCAGTTCGATGTAATTTAATAGATTTTCAACAGATTTCGTTGTCTCCTCCTGGTTCCAAATTATCAGCAGGTTCCAAAATACCACCTCTTCCCTCTATTTATTTATAACTTGCTATTGCAATAATTTTATTAGTTGACGGATTCTCGTTGAGCTATACAAAATTAATAGAAATACGATAAAAATCACAATTAGTTGTTACGTCGTCGATGAGACGTCCTAACATAGCGTCGTAATTTCTTGCTAATAATGCTTTTAATTGCCTTTCAAACAAATTTGTGTTAGTTGCGTTATATCTTATAGAGAATTATTTTTGAAATGTTTCAATAAACTACCAAAAAAGTTCTCGCCGCTGCCATGTTTTTATACGCTCTTCATTAAGAGAATAATTGATAGTCTTAAAAGTATTATTACCATACTAGCCGCTGCCCGCGACTACGCCTGCGTAGGATAGGCTGAAGGCGTAACATTCAGACAGAAAGACAGATATACATAAAAATACCTATATAAACTATAGCCTATGTCTTATTCTGATGTATAAGCTATATTATTGTAAAGTTTAATTGGAATTCATTCAGTAGTATTTGTGTGAAAGAGTAACAAACATCGCCTTTATAATATTAGTAAGGATTATACTAACAGAATATCTTTTCTGTTGTTTCAGAGTGCGCGTCGAGTACTATGTAAATGAGAACACCTTCAAGGAGCGGCTTCAGCTCTACTTCATCAAGAACCAACGTTCGAGTAAGTATATCGTTCGGTCGTTGCTTGTATTTGACGGATTGGCCTTTCGGTCCATGAGTTTGATTCCCACACAGAACATCATCAGCCAGAATAAGCATTTGCATCGATTGACACTGTCATTTGCAACCAACGGTTGCCTGCCCGCGACTTTTACGATGTCGTCGATCCTCCTGGTGGGAGGCCGCATGGAAGGAAGTTTGTCGAGATGTTGGACTGGGAAAGATTCTGCAGCAACATAATAAACATTTATTAATCACTCATTACCCATGAGTGGTAGGGCCACGCAACCGTCTTCACTGTTGCACGAATGGGCAGGTCCATCCTGAGAAGTCCCACGACCTCACAGAAGTTCGGCGGTAAAACTTTAAGAGATACACTTCTGCGTTTCGTCCGATGAGTGAGTTAACCGGCGCCCTAACTCTATTAAATGTATCTGCACCCACGTGGTTATGCAAATGTGCATGGGCGGCGGTTGTCAATTAACATTAGATGAACCACCAGCTCGTTTTCCAACTTCTCACATTAAAATCATGACAAAGTCATTGGATGAATCCAATAGGTGGTCTTAAAATGAACATGGAATATCGTGTGGAATATCTATGTACTCGTACGGTTATGTTTGGCAATGATATGCTCTAAGTTGTTGACCGCCACATCTACCATAGACAAAAGGTCCAATGAGGCAGGTCCAGCTTCGAATAAGATTTCGCCAGAAGTATCCAACTCGGTTGGGCTGCGTTCGGAAAACCACATGATATCTTCTCGTCCAAGATACCGCTATACTTGGTCAGTTACCTTGGACAGCATACCGCTGTACGGATTTGCAAACTATTCATAGTGGAGGCTGCTGTGAAAATATATCTGGATTCTTTGCACGAAGAAAAGGACTGTACCAAAAGACCTCATCGCAGCTCTCATTCTGTCTAAAAAAATCTCTTTGTAAATTTCTCACAAATCCGTACAACCGTTGCGTCGTGAAAAGGGAACAAACATTTAGAGACGGACTTACTCATTTCTAATATCTGTTTGGCATAGATGAAATATATAAATTTAAAATGTCAGCTATTTTAACTCTGACAGCTAACAAGTTTATCGCTTTATTAATGTTTAATCAAATACACAAACCTAGCTGGGAAACGGCACAGACTTTATATCGCTACCAAATTTTGGCCAAAGATGTGTGGAAACCATACATAATCTAATTGAAACCGATGATTACTTGTTTGTCGTGAGAATAACGTTGAAAATAACAACTTTCCATAATTGTTATTTCATTCGAAAATATGTAAGATCTACAGAAATAAAGGCTTTTTATTTTTTTAAAGTTTTTATAATTTTCTTATTTTATTTATAATATTCTTATTCTCTCTTCCGTATATGTTTTAGTTACAGTTGGCGTAGCGTGCTAGGTTATGTCATCCGCCTTGTTCATTCATCGACTTGGGAAATCGAAATGATGTCCCGAAGGATACATTTAGTTTTGATGTTGTTAACTACGGAACTACATGAAAGCTATTTAAGCCCGGCAGTTTATATGAATGGTACTGTGATCGAAACCATACTTTTTATGTTTCGATTTCGATTTATACATTTACACATACATACATAGTTTATGTGATTGAAATTTATTACGGCATGGAGTGAACGTGTAAAAACTATTGAATAAAACTGTTATTACGTTTTCCTTCAGTTTCAGTGAAACAATCTAACTTCGTAACGGTATTTAGGGCAAGATAGTGACGTCACACACGCGTCCCAGCCACTAATGGGATAGGGCAACGCAATTCATTACAGTAATTGCACCACTTTCCATTGCAAAGGTTAAAAAACCCCTCAATTACACTTTCCCCTCGTGGTTGCTTTAATTAAAGGTATGTGGCAATGACATAGAAACAATAAATGTGCCTTCATGAATGACAAAAAGGATACAATCTTTTACAGTTCAATGAACTGTTACCCTACCAAGGAAGGATCTCGCTGAAAATTTTTCTAATGTCTTAAATTGTATGACAAAGGAAACGTTAAATTCAGTCTTTGGCCATGAACGCGGCTTCGCGGAACAACTCAGCTACACCAGCTATCCCAGTCCATACTCGGGTCCTATCCTTGAGTTCATTGCTCGTCCAACTTTTATCCTGCCGGCGGCTTTTCCCATCATGGTGACTTGTATGATGTCGTATCGTTGATTACGAAGAACACGACTCGAATAAGAAACTTTTGTCGTTTGGATTAAGCACAACGAGTACGTTTTTAGCCAACTCTTTGCAGAACTCTGACGTTGGTAACCTTCTAAATATATTTGAGCGAAGCTGACTGGAGTGTACTGGAACAAAGGAGCCAACAACAACAGTAAGCTCAAATAAAGGGACTACTTTACCAACGCGGCCAAAATAATCTGCAGCAGACGAATGGAGTCTAGGAATGAAGTCTAATCATGGCCTATCTTTATTCTGTATCCTATTTGCTAAATGTCTATTAAGCGCGGTCATTGATGACCGCATGATGCCCGAGGGGCTAAAACAGGTTATGTTGTTGGTTTCCAATGTTTGGCAATGGCATGTAAACGCAATGTTTGGAGATTTTTGCCTTCAGACATTGAGCTATGGGTGACGACTAAACTAATAAAAGAATCAATTTTATTATTCTGTCTGGGTGATTTGGATCCAATAAGTCAATAGTAAGGCCCAATTTAAAGATTTCTATAACAACGTTGCCTAAATCAGCTGCAGCAGACAAAAGAGCCTAAGAATGTAGTTTAAGTAAATATTCTAATATTTTTTGCCTTCAGGCATTGAGCTATGGGTGACGACTAAACTAATCAAAGCATCAATTTTATTATTCTGTCTGGGTGATTTGGATTCAATAAGTCAATAGTAAGGTCCAATTTAAAGATTGCTATAACAACGCTGCCTAAATCAGCTGCAGCAGACAAAAGTGCCTAAGAATGTACTTTAAGTAAATATTCTAATAAAGACCTTTCTTTCTCCGGAACCCATAATTTGTGTTATACATGCCGGTCATTGCGATCTGCAGGAGGCCTTAAAATATTGTGTCATCGGTGTCTCTTCAGGTATTCTGCTATGGGTAATCAATCCAAAAATTATTTTTATTTTACAAAGTTTTGAGCCGTTGTCCCAGGTATACTCTACGTCTAGGCGTTAAAGCCCCCGCCTCATTGAAATGGTTTGGATACATGATTCTCTTATTATTTTTGCATGTAATCTTTTCCGTGCTCCCTAAGGTGGTGATTTTGTACAATTTTGATTTTTCTTTAAATAAATCCCAGATAATTCTGGATTCCGAAGTCCTAGGTTATAGAATAAAAAAATGGTAAGAGCGGTTTGAACACAACATGAAAACAGCTCAGAGCGTATCGGCACAATAAACATCATCAGTAACTTTGACCTTACATATGAAATGAGCAAATTAACTGGACACTGATAACGCGCTTAGCATAAAACCTTCACAGAGTCCCACGGGGAGGTCGACGACGACAATGCAATGTTCTAGAGCCCCACACATCATTATACATGCACTGATCGAATCCAACTTTCGACAAGCACCTTGTTACGTTATATTTAAGAATTTAAAAAATAAAAAACTGCTGTAGTATAATGCAAAGTTTTTAAAGGCCATTAAAAGGGACTGCTACCTCCTTTCTGCTCTTTAACGTCCTGATCTCCGTGATATGTCATTTTGCAGTTTATTATGCGATCACAGAAAGATGAATTTATAACGGATAAACTCGAGGTGTGTATGGTAAGTTTGAACACATTGCCAATGTGTTACAAAAATATTAACATGTTAAATAGTTCCTCAGTTGCCAGCTATCGTACAATCAATCTGTGGTAAGGCCACGCAACAGTCTGTTGCAAGCTGTTGCAAGAATGGGCAGGTCCGTCCGGGTAAGCACCATGACCTCTTACAAAACCGGCGCGAAGTGGAAGTGCTACACTTATACGTTTTGTCTGGTGAGTGAGGTAGCCGGGGACCACTTTATTAAAAGGTAGCTTTGCATCTGCAACCTACGGGTGTTGCAAATGTCAATAGGCGGCGGTTATCACTTAATACCTAGTGAACCGCTAGCTCATTTGCCACCTACTGACATAAAAAAAACAGTGTACTGTGCCGGAGAAGTTTCAAATGTCAGTCTGTCTGTATGAACTTTCTGTGCAACACTTGTACTATAAAAGCGTCACAATGTTTTAAGAAATATTTTAGAGAACTGTTCACCGTATTTTCTTACGTGGCCTGTAAATAACAATTTATTATAGATTTAATTTCGGTTTTTATGACGCTTAAAACAAAAGAATTTTTAGCAAAAAAAAAAAACGATTTCAAACCGGAAACAAAAAAACATTGTCAATACAACACAATTGTAATATAACATTTGAGGATTGCTTTCGATTTCTCTGGGATGCCATCCTCAGATCCGGGTTTCCTTATCATGGTTAATCCTTGAGATATCTCCTTTCCAACAAAAAAGAATCATCAAAATCGGTCCATGAACGAAGTTATCTGCGTACACACATAAAAAAAAAAATATACGGTCGAATCGAAAAACCTTCTTCTTTTTTGAAGTCGGCTAAAAACCTCCTTCTTTTTCGAAGTCAGGAGTTGAAAAGAGAAAAAAATTTATCGTAGTAGGGCTTGCAATAAAATGTTATGGAAACCAATCCCTGTGGACGTTTTTTTGTGGATCACGTTGACCTGTGTCGAAGTGATAGAAAATTGGGAAATTTTTTCGCAAAATTTTCTTGTCGACAACTCTTAACTCTTTTCATCTGAACGGGGAGCATAACAATCATATCTGCGATCGAAACCAAGAAAAAAACTAATTAATTAACTAACATTAGGTTATCTCGATAAGGTTTTAAATTAGGAATTTATTCACGGTCCATCAATTTGAAGATCGACCAATGCATGCACATTCCGCACCGGTAATTAACGAAAAAGCATTTAATGCTAAAAGACGGGTGTATATGCGAAGTGACAATAACATATTTTCTAATATAGAAATTTGTTTCGTGGGACGAGTGCTACCTTAATTACTAGATGTTATTGGCCGCCGTCATAATCGGGGCTGTGTTGGTTATGTGGCTTTTATTATTTTTATATTCAGACCGGTCTCCCAAATCTTATAACTATCTTGGCCGTCTAGGTAAATTTTAATATACTTGTAAAATGTGAACATATATACAACATTTATTTATTCGGTGGTAGGCCATGCAGCTGCCTCGGCCGTTGCAGGAATGGACTGGCTCGTGCGGGATTCGCCATCATCACCGAGATTTTATAGAATCATCGTCCTACATTTGTTATTATACTAGCTGCTGCCCGCGACTACGTCTGCGTAGAATAGGCTGAAGGTGTCACTGTATCTGTATAAAGACAGATATACATAAAAATGTGTATATAAATTATAGCCTATGTCTTACTCTGCTGTATAAGCTTATATTATTGTAAAGTTTCATTAAAATCCATTCAGTACTATTTCCGTGAAAGAGTAACAAACATACATCCATACATACAAACTTTCGCCTTTATAATATTAGTAAGGATTGCTATGCTCTTATTGGGTGATAAGGCCCCGTCCACCATATGTCACATTCGAGTCTTTATTGGCTTGAGATCACGAAATAAATATTCTCGATTAAAAAAATTGGGATACCAATTTGATCACGTTTTGCTTTTTTTAGTAATTAAGCAGCAGATGATTTTTTTTCATACACTTTATAGCCATTTGTAAGGCACTTTTAAAGCCAGTTACGTATACTCCAGTACGCTTTCATTAGGTTAGAGGCGAAACAGCCATGCGCAATCCTCCATGCCATCGTCAAATCGGACCTCGAGCAATTTGAAAAAACCACATGAAAAAAAAAATAAGCGCGTATTTCAATCTGTCGGCACCATGGCTAGGTAACCTGCATGTTTTCGAAAAACTTACGAAAAAAATATTTCGAAAATACGTGAAATCCGCAAATCCGCAGTGGGGTCGCGTGATGGACTGTGCTCTAATATCCTCTGTACATGGGTGGCCTTTGCCCCGTAGTGGGACATATATAGGCTGTTACTTTACTTATTTATCTAATGATCGCTAACATAATGTACACTATTTGCGACTAAATAAATTAAATGGACATCAACTGTTCGTCAGTGTCATTACAATTAAAGGCGCTGACGTCGTGCAATATTACGGGCGAACAAAATACAAAAGTTGTTTATTACAAAATCCAAAGGTACACTTTTTTATTAATATGAAAATAAGAGAGAAATAATTGGTTGATATTATAATAAAGTTTGTGCAGCAATTTGAAAATGACTAATAGCATTGAAGTAGGTAACATAAACGCTTGTATTCGTATAAAGGCACGGTCGCATTGCCACGTGCGTTTTAGTGACTCACTTCAGTTATGACTAACCTAATTTGTTTCGCACGTTACACCGAAGGCGTTGAGAAGTTTGCGAGTCATGAATTAATTTGAATGTAGTTATGCTCGAGATAATTAGGGTTTTATGAAAGGATCTGATCCCCTTGGTGTAGTCGTATGTTATTTTAAGACACCGATTTCTTACATTGGAGCCAGTCAGTGGCTAGCAGTTTGTAGTTTGTTATTTATGCCTTAAACAAGTGGGTAAGCGAGATGGTGTTCGGCTAATATTATGCCCATGGCCATCCAAAATGCCTGAGGCCAGCGTTTAGAAATGTAAGTCTCGTTTACCTCACTAATATACTAGTGCTGTGGCGCTGTTTTTTTACTCATTTTTTAGAAGGAACAGTTGAAGGCACTGATAGTTTTGCATTTTAGTTAGGAAGTTATTTAAGGAGATAAAACTGAACAGCGATAAACGGTATTTGTAAACTACGTCAGTAGGTTCAGGTGAAAGAAGCTTTGGAAGAATAATCTTTTTTTTATGGAAAAAGAGGAAACGAGCAAGCGGACCACCTTATGGCTAGTATTCACTGCTATCCAAGGATATTCGCAACACCAGAGCAGTTACAAATGCGTAGCCAGCCTTTTAGGCGATTTGTGGTGCAGTAACGGATACAGAAACATTAAGTTTGCGCGGGGGTTCATTATGCAATGTTGGAGAAAACTAAGGAAAATACTGTAAGATTCCATTCTTTTATATTCCACGTCTACGAACTAAAGGACTAACTGAACAGGAGTGAAAAAGTTTGGTATTAATTTTCCCGTCCGATTATAATGCGACTGTCTCCAAGGCACGAGTGAATAATCAAATTTTGAGCTTGACATTGTTTCTTGGTTATAGTAGAACGAAACGTTACAATAACGTTAGACAGGTGAGCGGGACAAAGTAATCCGTCGTTGGTTATAGATAGATCACACTTATACTTGACTATGAAAAGCAAGTTAAAGATGGATAGCGTATCCATTTTACTGATTGATAATCGTTAGCGATCTATCCTTGACACGTTATTGAAATAACATCTTACTTACCATCAGGTGTCATAGTAGTGAAGCACTGGCCACTGTTTGGATAAAAATAAAATAGCGAAAGTACGTCAAGCATTCTAATTGGCACGTTATCAATAAAGAAACTTTGTTTCAGGCCTTCGGATTAGAATTGCGAACTTGGTCTTCAAGCTGCTGGCCTGCGTTCTCTACATATTCCGCGTCTGCTCGGACGGCGATCCCATCTCCGCTTCATGGTAACAAATCAATATAATTAAAATTCAAACCTAGAACAGTAAGTTTTTGAGAGAGAGAGAGAGAGAGAGAGAAAATATAAAAGAGAATGCATATGTGTCCTACACTGTCCTACACTGCGATGGCCAGAACGAGGCTGCCACTAGAGAACCTTTCTCCCCCAACGGCTATCGGTTCTCTGAGCTATGTGGGTTACTTTGTTTCTACTGCGGATGTCTTCGTAACGAACTCTAGCCTACTCAACGTAAACCGTTAGCCCGATTTATATAAAACTTAGCATTCATATAAATAATGATATGCTGGTGGCAGTGATTTTTAACTTTTGAGTCATAGGGCGAACTGATATGAAATTTTTCATGTGGCAGAATTGGAGCATCAAGTAATATGATTTCACTGGTGCCTTATACATGCCGTTTAGTTAATTTTGAATCAACGCAAGCCACGCAATGGTCTCCATGGCCCGAATGGGCGGGTACGTCCGGGGAAGTAGCAAGACCTCACAGAAAACCGGAGTGAAATGGGAGAGTTATATTTCTGCGTTTCGTCTTGCGAGAAAGGTGACCGTGTGCACCCAGAAAGTGGGTCCCCTTTATTAAAAGCCAATCGTTTCTAAAATCTACTTTTTACTAAACTCTGTAACGTAGGTAAATCAATTTCTCTAGTGATAGTCGTTTAGCAATGACATTTATATGTATATGTTGTCATTTCGGGCATACAACTGTAAGTCATCGTGTGATAAAAATGTTAAAAGATGAGAATTCTTCACATAAATTTTTGTCATCAGTTAAATTTCGAGATAGCATTTTCTCGTTAATCATTAATAACACGCCTCTTTTTAACTAAAAGCTGCTCACAGGATCTGTCTGCCCTCAATTAAATGTACTGAATGATGGAATTGTACTTTTTATTTTTATTTTGTATACATCCCGTTGCAGATATAAAAGTAAAAAAAGTGACGTCATATAATTAATAAAGAAATACAATTTATTTCCAATAAACATCAGACATACAACAAGAAAGGGAATTCGAAATAAAGTTTTAGCTTTTTCTCCTACCACCTATTGATTAGAAATACATTCATTCGATATGAAATTGTAATTCTTTTTCTATGCAGTTATGGCTGTAAGCCTGGGAATAAGACCGAGTTCGAATACTCGGCCAATCTGACCGAAGAGGAGTTCCAGGAGCACCCGATCATAAACTGGGACGGCATACTATGGGTGCATCGCCCCTTGTACCTTTGGGTGGTTCAAGTAGTGCTGGCGATGATATCTTTTGCTGAAGCCATCCTCCTCGTCTACTTAGGCTACAAAGTAAGACTCGTCTTTAAATGATGATATTATTATCTCCTTGATCTTTTCATTAATATCGATTGATAGGCCGCTTGTGACACCATCTAAGCTGACAATACCGTTATTATGGCTTTACCCCCCATAGGCCGAACATGTTTCGCACTTGTTATACATGTTAGAAGGTATATCAATATACACTCCAGTTATTAATCCATATTTTATTTCAATGTATAGTTTTAAATGATTTGACAAATCTCTTCATAATTTAATCAAAAATAATACATACCGTTCTTCTACCGATCCATGTTTAATAAACGTTCAAAGCCTTTTCAAATGGTTTTTGTCTGCTGTTATTATGTATTTACATTTTGATATTAATGAAATTATTTATAATTTGCAGGGAAATATTTGGCAACAGATACTATCGTTCCACTTCATCCTGGAAATGGTGAATACGATACCGTTTGCTCTAACGGTGAGTGATTTATTTCTCTTTCCATCTAACACATTTTGCTGACAGCTGTATGCAGGCGTTATTATATCGCTTATTAGGTAGTGTATTGGAAATTGGTGAACATAGGCCTCCCCCTAAAACGCCACTGAATGATACTGCTATATGCATCCTCTGGTTGCCTGCGACTTTTACGATGTCATTGGTCCGCCTAGAGGGAGGCCTTCCAACGCTACGTCTTCCGGTTCGTGGTCGCCAATCGACCACTCTTATTTCCGTAGGTCGTCAGTTCTTCGAGTGAAGTGGCCTGACCATTGCCACTTCACCTTGGAATTTATCAAAGTCATAATTGTACATATGTTTATTTTTTTATACATTTATATTTGCATTTATAGCTTAGTGTCCAGGAGTTGAAGCATGACATATACATACAGTAACAACAGCATTTATAATTAACAAAAGCCAGGCTTATAGTTTAACAATCGTGTCATGTACATTTTTTTTACGTTTGATAACATTATCAACCAAACTACAAAGTTTAGTAAATGATACTCTACTTCTAGTCGTTTTGGTTTATACACTCTATTAAATCTATTACTGTGTGGTAAATTTGAGTGCTCAAACCTTATGAAGGTCAAAAGGCCATAATCCATGTCTATCAATTGGTGTTCACTCCTTTTCCAAAAAGAAGCAAGAATCCGACAGTAACAACTCGAATCAATTACATTTTCCTTTCCTCGCTTATCTGATCAAAAGTGAAACATAGTGAAGGTCGAGTATAGAACCTGGTTCATGATTACTGTCAACTTTTTTTGAACTACTTTTATTTCCTATCATTTAACCTTTTATATTTGTAACTTTGTGTACTTTCACTTATTTTTCTTTTTTAATTTGTATTTTTTGAAACGATCAAAGGTTTGAAGAGGTCAAAGTAAATTCTAAGTCTATGTCTTAGGCAAAGAAAAGTGGTGAAAAAACAGTTAGAACCATTAAATATATTTTTTGATTCATTCATTCGTGAAGTACTAACTGGATTTATTTGTCTAGCTACCGTTCCCCCCTCTTCGGAATCTGTTCATCCCGGTATTTCTGAACTGCTGGTTGGCGAAGAGGTCCCTCGAGAATATGTTTGTAAGTAAAGTGAATATTGTACATTGCCATTGATAAATTGTCCTCGTTTAGTATGGTCGAGTGTTGAAATTCAATTGTTTTGCTTGTACGTATGCAGTGTATATTGATGGAGCTACTAAACTGATTCTTTGTTATGAATTCAAATTTACAAATCAACATTTATTTCAATAAATTTTAAGATTTTTACGAATTCTGCAAAATAAAATTTTTCGCGGTCATATTACTGATCATTATTATCATATGTAACTAACTATGCGGGTATATTTATATTTACAAAATCATTGCTCGCTATATTTAATTAAAGTAACTAACATCTTGTTTTGCCATATAGATACGCTGTATAAAACTAAATGTAAAATAAGATTAGTCATAATAAGTGCTAGTTAAACGTTTCGCCGAACTTACAACTTTGTCTTGTGACTTACATAATGTATAAAATAATAAATATATATATATATATATATGTATATATACAGCCTTCATTGGGCCATTCCGTCTAGAGAAGTACCACGACCTCCCAGAAGACCAGCGTGAAGTGGTAGTTCTCCGTTTCATCAGGTAGTCGATGCCCATTTCATTAAAGGTGGTAACGCATATGCAGCCATACGGGTGTTGCAAATGTCCATGGGCGGCGGTTATTACTTAACATCAGGTTGACCGCCAGCTCGTTTGCCACATTGTCAAATAAAAAGTGTATGTCCTTTCAGAATGACCTGCATCGTGCCATGCAGAAGTCGCAGTCAGCACTCTCCCAGCAGCTGATGATTTTGTGCGTTACTCTTCTGTGTCTCGTGTTCACCAGGTGATTAAGGGCATAAAATACAATAAACTTCACATTGGTCCTTTTGTTTGTATTTAATTTAAACCCAACAATATCTCATTAGTGATCACTGGATAAGTTTTTATAATGTATGTTGTTACTGATGCAGAATTAATTAAGAAAATATCCATCTAACCACTGTTGTACTTCTCCCCTTTATTTTTTTCCGGTAAGTATAAAATGCGCCTTTTAGCGTTAAGCCGCGAAACCACGAAGGTCTTCGTTGCCATTAAATTACAGTGGAAAGTTTCTTCTTCAGCGTTTGTGGCATCCAACATTTCCAACGCGCCGGCCACCGCCATCTGAACCTGTTCCAAGCCACTTACTTCGTCGTGGTCACCTTCTCCACCGTTGGCTACGGAGACTTCGTTCCAGACATTTGGCCGTCGCAGCTCTACATGGTCATCATGATTGGAGTAGCTCTGGTCGTCCTTCCGACGCAGGTGAATAATTACAACTCTATATGCCTCTGCGGTAGGTCCACGCAACAGATTTCGCTGTTGCACGATAGGGCAGGTCCGTCCGGGTAAGTAGCGCGACCTCGTAGAAGACCAGCGTGAAGTGGATGTGCTATATTTCTGCGTTTCCTTTGGTTAGTGAGGTAGCCGGGGCCTTAATTATTAGTCGGCAGCGCATCTATGATTCTACGGGTGTTGCAAATGTCGCTCAGCTCGTCTGCCGCCTTCTCGCATATATTTTTTTTAAAACAGAACTATTATTACATTCCATCATGTCCGTCCAATAAACATAAGATATTAATATGTTGTACCTACCATTTTACTCATGTAAACTTTTCTTCTTCACGAGAACCTCACAATGGTTACAGGCCCTTTCCAGGACCCGTTTGATTACTTCAGCACCAACTTTTGTTAACCGGCTTGGCCGACCGGCTTACCTCAAGGCTGCTGACCCCAAAACGGTCGTAGGGCCACGCAGCAGCCTCGTTTGTTGTCGGGCAGGCTCGTCCGGGTAAATACCACGACCTCACGGAAGTCCGGCGTAAAGTGGAAGTATAATACTTTCGCGTTTCGTCTGGTGAGTGAGATGGTCGGAAATAAATTTTCAAAAGGTTGTCAACGCATCTGGAACCCTCAGTTGTAGCAGATGTCCATAGGCGGCGGTGTTCACTTAACATCAGGTGAACCGTCTGCTCGCTTGGCAACTTTTCACATAAAAAAGACGTATTATTAACGTAAACGTATGAATATAAATTTCATGAAGATTGCGATACAGGTGTGAGAAATTATAAGCCTCATTTGTAACTTTACTGTGGCGACTAAAACATAGCAACTTATCTGCAATTAGTGCGTGTTTTTCGACCGTGAAAGTTATAACATTCGTGGCTTTATGAAAGTTCATTCGAATCAAACATTGGGGATGTCCCCCAATCTTTTTTATGACATTACCGAGATTGAATATTTTATGTAGTATTAAAAATATATTAGCAAGCGTGTGGATTAATCCAGAAAATTATTGATGTTGACCCTGGTCGTAAATTTATAATATACGTTTTAACATCATGTAAAAAAAGGTAAATACAATTGTTTAGGTATTTATATAATAAAAAAATAAGATAAATACTTAAATTTAAAATTGAACATATTCCGACGGGTTTTAACAATACTTCCGCATCGTGTCGTTCTTTGCGCATCCATACCTGTACCCTCTGTACCGTGTTAGTATCCGGTGGTACGGTGTTCATTTAAACTCTCTGCGGTACGGCCTCATTGGATGCATATGGATCCTCTGCACCTTGATCCAGTGGTACTGGGCATGTAATGCCTGTCTGCGAATCGGTACCCTCATCCACCAGCACGTACGCAGGCTTAAGACGATCTATTGAAACACCTTGTCGTTAAAGTGCATTACGAAAACTTTTTCTCCTCTTTTTTTACCCGGAACGGACCGTTATTAGTCGGTTGAAAAGAATTTAGTACTGCATCATTTAAAAAAAAAAAACATTTTTAGAGCGGGATGAATAAATACACGCGGCTTTATCGTGGATCTAAACTTGAGCATTTGATAACGAATGGAACAATGTACATGCGCTTTGTAGGCTAGTTTTACACTGTTTGAAAGCTGTGTTTGCCTCCTGAGTCAACTCGATTTTAGTTTTATCTTTGCGTTTAGCAGCGTGTAAGTATTTATTCAACACCGATTTAAAAGATTCGACTTTTGGAAAATAACTACGTTAAAATTAACCATTCCTAAATATCTGCGTAAATCGTTGACAGTTTTCGGTTTAGGAGAGTTTTAATTACTGGACTCGTTCGTTGTTCGAGTAAAGTTTATACTCTCTTAATAGTATAATCTCTTATCAACTGGTATAACTGAAATATTAGCTCCGTGTCCACCAAATTATAACCACTGTTTAAGTCGGTTATTGGTAGACGGTGGATCGAGACTATAGTGCTAACATCCGCCTCCAGCTGCACTCATCCTAGTTATTCGGAACTTTCTAGGCGCACGGCTTTACGCAGTTTTAGCCCGCCATGAAAACGAAAATGGTTGAATTAAAGCCAGCCTGGGCGTCTCTGGGAATTCACTGACTGGAATGGAGTGCGGCTACGCGAAGTTTCACGACGTTTGTAGCGCTGCTGTAACTTTGGCCTGTCCATATTATTAAGCCTCGCGGTAATTTTGGAAATCTGGTGCAGTAGTGCATGAGCTATCCGCAAGTGATCCGGTTTAGTGGTTTCCAAAGTTTTATCAGCAATGTTGGCCAATTTATCAGTGTCTTCTATGTCAGTGGCGGCAAGGATTGCTCGTGCCGGTGAAGGCAAATGGCTCAGCCAAAGTAGCTGCAACGTTTTATCCGGTAATTTTCTCCTCGCCAAGTTTTGCAAGCACCGTAGTAGTTGCGAAATCATTTTCACGGCACACAATATAAAGTTAATAACGTGTTTACTTCGAAGTTCGCGTTCGGGTCATTAATAAAATAATCATCGAATTTCCATTACCACATGTAAACTGAGAAGACACGAAAAAAATGTTACACCTATACTCTACTTAAACACTATGGCGCATATAAATCATGGCTTCTTTACATAACAATCTATACTGGCTTAGTTATCGGCAAATTATATTCATTTAAAACTGTAAATGAGCGGAAGAGATTCTGATAGGTATGGTTTAAATACATGTTCTTTTGTTTATGCTGAGCAGAGAAGCACAATATATTACTCACTATTCAGGTCCCATTACATTATATTTAAAGCGTATTTAATTTTGAAAATAATTCCCTTACGAATATAGGTACGTATTCGAAGTTGAAATAAGAAATTTTTAGAAGAAACTCCTTCGTTCGAGTTTGCTGGATCGGAGCTATGCTTTAATGCGACTTGATACTATTAGGAACACAACAAGCTTAAAATATGACAGCAGGACTTTTTCCAAAGCCTTGCTTAATAGCAACTATGTTTTAACATGAATAGCCATGAACAATGTGTTTCTAACCACGACTTCACATACAATTTCTCACTGCACGGCACTAGATAGCATCTGCTGGGTAATCAATCTACAGGGTTGTCGGATTTCATCCAAAGGGCATTTTTTGTTTTATTTTTAGTTCGAACAACTGGCATTCACGTGGATGGAGAGGCAGAAGCTTGGCGGATCTTACTCATCGCACCGAGCCCAGTCCGAGAAGCACGTGGTGGTCTGCTCGACGACCCTGCACGCAGACACGATCATGGACTTCCTGAACGAGTTCTACGCCCATCCACTTCTCCAGGACTACTACGTAGTGCTGCTTTCTCCCATGGAACTTGACACCACCATGCGCATGATCCTCCAAGTGAGTCAATTAATGTCAAAACCAAAATTCTCTTATTTGTGTGTTTTACTGAACAGTCTTGTCATTATATCTAGCTGGATATAATTTTCTTCAATATGACGCTCTGTTTTGTATACTTTTTCGGTAAATGTTACGTTCAATATGTTGACTACAAAAATAACAATACTGTCTTTAAAGTATTGTAACTTTAAAGACTTTATTGAGACTTAAAGTGTTGTATTGTGTTTTTCCTAGTCAACATATTAAAAATAGGCCGTTATCTATAAATATCACGGCCTATTTCCACGTGAGCAGTGGAGTATATAAATAAGTTTAATTAATAATAAACATGTACATTTAAAAAAAAACACGCAGCGAAAAGTCATTGTATTGTAATTTGCAATGAAATCTTGGGTGGTAAGGACCATCATACAAAGGCAGAGAATTCCTTGCATGACTTTCAAACAACTTTTTGGACCAGGATGTTCACCTATCAAAAAGTATTTTTATAACACCCCTGATGCAAAAAAGTTAAGTTATGAGGGATATCACTTGTAATGATGATAACCTTATGATGCATATACAAACTAACGAGAAAAAATAAAATAAATTGGCTAAACTACATTTGGGCTGTTCAAATTTCGCAGGTGCCGATTTGGGCTCAACGCGTCATTTACATCCAAGGCTCTTGCTTAAAAGATACTGACCTCATCCGGGCGAGAATGAACGAAGCTGAGGCTTGCTTTGTATTGGCCGCACGAAACTATGCCGACAAGACAGCTGCCGATGAGCACACCATTTTGAGGTAAAGTTTTCGTGACCTTAATATACGAATCCCGTGTCGAACTGTTTTTAAGATGTGACCTTATATAGTAACAGCTGCTTACGTAGCACAGTCAGACAGAAGATCGACGTGGATTGAAAGTATACATACACCTTTGCATTACCTACGATTTTTAGCTGGAAACTTAGTTACTCTTCGAGTGGCCACACGCTAATTACGTAATGGAGTTATGACTGTCTATGGGAAGATATCCTCACTAATATCATGGTTAGCGTCGACCGCTGCTCAGATTAAATCGCTTGTCAAATTGTACAAAGAATGCAATTCTTATGGATATTCGCTAATTGCGTTTCATAAATGATATCTGATATATTGATATTTATACATAGTCATTGATTATATTAAGAGTACTACAATATTGTTCACATTTTGTTAATGAAGTCGTTAATAAAGTTAGAAGTATAAATAAATTGTAGCTAATTTTGACAATGATGTTTTGTAGTTATTAACTGATAACTACTATAACTTCTTAGTTACACTACATAGCATTTTACAGTGTGAGTCAATGAGTCGTAGATCTCTATCGTGCCAAGAGAGACAACAATCAAAATCGTCATAATGGTTGGCCAGTACCGGGCTATAAGCTAAGCCGTTTTGGTCGTGCTGTTGCACGAATGAGCAAGTTCGTCCGGGGAAGTACCGCGGCCTTGCAGAAGACCGACGTGAAATTATTAAGTTTTCGTTTCGTCTGGTGGGTGAGGTTACCGGGCCACACATTTTTAAAGGTTGTCAAAGCATCAGCATGCCATCGGGTGTCCATGGGCGGTGGTATTAATTCAATATCAGGTGAATCGCCTGCTCGCTTGTCAATTATTCACTTAAAAAAAGCTAAGTACCATCACCGATCACTCGTTGGCACAGTCAAGGTATTGGCGTCGGCGCGGAGGGTCGTGGGTTCGATCCTCACACGCGACAAGTACCTGTGCGACCCACAGATACTCGTCTCGGATCTGGCTGTTTGTCCACGAGAAATTTACGTTTGCAAAACGCTCTTACAACACAGGACAATACTATCCTACAGGAGACAAAACATTTCCTAAAACCCTCAGAAAGCTTTTCCGAATAAATATACGGACGTCCACAGATCGTGGGCCGTGAAGGACTTCGCGCCGGACGTGCCGCAGTACGTGCAGATTTTCCGCCCCGAGAACAAGCTCCACGTGAAATTCGCCGAGTTCGTGGTGTGCGAGGACGAGTTCAAATACGCACTGCTGGCGAACAACTGCACCTGCCCGGGCGCCTCCACCCTTGTCACGCTGCTGCTGCACACCAGCCGTGGACAGTTAGCAAAATTCAGCAGCATTTCACCTAGGACCCGATCGCGACTGGACCGAACTTTATGATTAAACAGTTTTTGTCCCAAGGGACATGTGTTCCGAATTAGAGGAAATGCAATAATGACTAAATAAATAAAAAAATACCCCTGGGACATTACAAGAACCCAAGGGTTTCGCTTGGAGGATGATCGATGATTTTTACGCTGTGTCGGATGCAAAGTGGGGCTATTAAACAGCTATTTTTTATATAGCTCATGTAATTCGCGAAAGCGGGTGCCTTATACACACAAGCTGTGGTAGTCTCCTTGCCTAACGGAACGATCTGGCAAATGGCCACAAAAACATTGCCATACAGATGATTGACGCGTGTTTGTTGTGGTTAAGAATGCTTTAACAAAATGTTTCGTAATATATTTCAAGTCTTTAATTTTTAATTATAGCATAAAAGTGACAACCTGTATATGTGCCATTGCTGAAAAAAGGTTTCCTCTGCACCGAGGGTATTACCGACCACTACGCGACCCCACTGCCGATGACATCTCATATCTTCTAAATGTTTTTTTTTTTTAAATAAAATTCGAAAATAAGCGGGATTCCCCACGACTAGTGCCTGTTGAGTAAAAGTAAATCTACGTACTTCACAGGGAAGGCCAACAGTCGCCCGAGGAGTGGCATCGCCTTTACGGCAAGTGCTCCGGGAACGAGATCTACCACATCGTTCTTGGCGACAGCCGCTTCTTCGGTGAATACGAGGGCAAGAGTTTCACGTACGCCAGCTTCCATTCCCACAGGAAGTAAGCACATTTTATTTTTTCCATTTATCATTTTATTTTCTATCGGAAGAAAATATTTATAAGAGACCCTGTCTCTTGGGGGGAACCGGGTTATGTGGGGCTCCTACCAGCTATACCTCGCTCGTTGGCCACTCTAAGTACGTCGAGAGGGGCTCCTACGGAACGCACCGGCGCGCCTCTGTACAGCGCATACTCACGCTTCGGGAAAGACTGCCTGCCTCCCACGTTCCGTCGTTGGTTTCCGGCAAAACATATAAAGAGTTTCTTGACGGGTTGTACATGAACCTAGTGTCCTTTTTAGTCGTCTTTTACGACAGACAGGGGATACATTAGCCCTATTCTATGAGCCCGGGACTACAGCGCAGACTGTATACCTAAGCTTTATGGAGTTCATCACGATATGTTTAAAGGTACGGGGTTGCGCTGGTCGGCGTTCGCCCCGCGGAACTGCCGGAGTTCTACGAGGACACCATCCTACTGAACCCGGGCCCGCGGCACATCATGAAAAGCAGTGACACTTGCTATTACATGAGCATCACTAAAGAGGAGAACTCGGCATTCGTAATGTCCGACAAGCAGGAGATGAAGCCGATCATGCCCAAAGATCAGACGACATGTAGCCTCCTATCTAACGAGAGGAAACCCGCTGATCCCGAGGAGGGAACTAGCCAGCAGCGGAGACGAGACGGTAGTAGTGTGCTTCAGTACGAACTGCCACAAGTGATTCTCGAAGCCCCCCCGAGCGCGACACCAATAGCATCGCCATCTCGCATCAATCCAGCTAATACCGTATCATCCGCTAATTTTACTGTCGCTAGCTGTGAGTGCCACAGTTGGACTTATGCTTGTTCGACCGTGTACGTTCGACTTTCGTTTTTCAACCGATATAAGAACGAACCTGCACTTGGTCGTTTTATCTGCTTAAGTTTCTCTGTGCGGCCTGTGTGAGAATTGGCACTTTTTTTTCCAATATTTAGTCTTTACCAAATTATATTGGCACAGAGCAGCTAGTAAATTTTAGTTCATATGGTTTATGATTTGCCCTTGAACACAGTTATAAACTTTATTAACTGCGACAATTGCCTACGTTATGTTTTTTAATTTCATTTTCTAGTCGCCCTGTGTTCATGGTTTTTAGATTTATTGGTTAACTTGATAATTGAAGTAATGTACTAATTGAATATGTCACAAAATTTAACCGCAGAGCTTCGAATGTACCTAAGGCGAGCCGTGAGTTTACATTACATCTTTTTGCGCCGTATTATAAAATTGATCTCATGAATCACAATTGGCTCATGATTTGAATTCGTTGACAGTGTCATACAGACAGATTATTTGCATGTTTTTGTTTTAATAATTGTCCAGTTTCTATCAGTAGCTCGCGTATCTAACATTGTAATCATAAGATCAAGATCACTCGGTGCAAAGTTTTAAGCCGATATTTTGGTATCAACTTTGTGTCAGGTGGATCAATCGCCCCATTTCCGTTGTTACATATTCCCACTGTTGTTTCATGAAATTAAGTAATAGCGCTGTGAGGTAATTGCAGCTGCCGGTTTCGTACATCCCATAGTCATTTGCTGTTTGATAAATGAATGAAGTATTATTCGACTCTGATATATTTGAGCAGAACGTTATATTAGTTCTCGTTGAGTAAATTTGAAATAATTATACGCGCACAAATCGGACGCTAATGGAAATTGTGATGGTTGTTTCGCAGTGAGACATGGCGAGGGACCATCGACTTCGGAGTCACGTAACTTCTTGAAAGAGTCCCCGGCCACCGACAGCGCGAGCGATAGTCATTTGCTGTTGCCGCGACCCGAAAACAGCAACTTCCTGAGTCCAGATACAGTCAATTACCGTAGAGGTATATATCCTTTTCTACTAATCGAAATTAACTATCTATCTGCAATTATATGCTTATTTTTATTATGAGAAGGTGATCAGCGAGCTATCGTTAAGTGATAACCACCGCCCATGGACATTTGCAACAACCGTAGTGTTGCAGATGCAATTTTAATAAAGTGGGCCCCATTTACGACCTTTTTTAGCCTACGTTTTACTTATTGGTGGTCGGTACATTTTACCACGTAAAATGTAATCACCAAATATCCATTAGCTATCATACACAATTTAATATCACTTTCATTTATCTAACCCTGCCACTAGTTATTTGTAACCGCTTATTGGAATTGGATTTTTTGGAACTTTGTCTAAACAGGGAATCAAAAAAAACAAAAGAAGATTTTGTGATTGCTACATGTGAGACAATGTGCGGCCCTATTGAATGAATTTTTGACGACCCGATCAGCGTGGGGAGTAGTGTACCTGCCTTTTGCGCCATAGGGCGTAGGTTCGATCCCCGCTACTGGAAAAATATAGTCTGATGAACATGGCGTTCCAGTGTCCGGTTGTTTATATATGTCTAATATGTATTTATTAACAAAAGGAAAGTATACTAATTATCAGTTTTCGGTACCCACAGTACGAGCATTGTTTAGTTTGGGACGTTGTGTGAAACTGTGCCCGCAATGTATTGAACGAACTTACTTAACAGCCCTTACTTAAATTGACATCACAACAGAAGTAGGTTCTGTAGACATGTTCTGGTAACAGCCCGTAAATCAAACTGTAACTAGGTCGCATTATTTATCCCCCATAGGACAGGAAACAGCCTAGTGGGGGTCAGATCATAAGGCGTATAATGTAGATTTGTATTTGGAAATAAAGTAATTTGTACATCTGTATTATATATAATAGTACTTCGGTTCTGTAGACATGGACGCGGGCAGCCGGCGGCCGTCGATCCTGCCGGTGCCGGACATGGTGACGTCGAGCCTGAACATCGTGTCCGACAACCAGGACGAGGAGGCGGCCGTGGACGAGAGCGAGGACGAGCTGGAGGACAACGTGCCCTGGCGCTCGCCCTCGGAGAAGATCGCGTAAGCACCGGCCGCCCGACCCGACCGCGTCGGCGGCTTCACGCGCCTCGCATTCCGACTCTACTGTCGACATCACCGCGTCGATTTCCACCGATCGATTCTGACCCGTTACTACCCCACTTCGCTTACACGGTTGCGTGTATCTGTTTGTTTGTCTTATTTCAAATGCGTACTTCAGCGTCGGCTCGTTTTGATCCGATCTCACTTTGTTTTGGTTTTCAGTTCAGAAATGGTCTCTTGATCAATGTTGACATTTGATTTAACTTTTATTCTTTTTTTTTTATACGTTCTCATAGTGTTTTGGTTTTCAGTCCAGAAATTATCTCTTGATCAATGTTGACGTTTGTTTTAACTTGTATTCTTTTTTTTTTTATTAAGTATCCGTCTCGGTTTGGTTGTTATTTTGTGCTTATTCTTTATCTTAATGCATGCCGCTATAGATTATGCACAAAATAAAATCAGACCGAACACTGTTCCTCGTTATATACGACATTACTTTTTTTTTTCTTTCTTGTTGTTTTAGCCTGTACATTGATAGATAATCGTCAAGATCGGGTGCATGCTCTGAACACCATACGTATGTCACATTTTTCTTATTTTGATCGAAATTGAGGAGAAAAGAAGTGGTCATATTCAGTAAGATATACCATCTTAAATTTTAAAGACACGTTAAATTTTAAGTTATTTTGCCCGTTAACCTTAGTTTTTACCTGTTTTCTCATCAATTTCAACAAACGTATCTTTTTAGCTTGCATTTGTTTTCACAATACCCGTAGCTTTCTTCACAATAGCTAGATCCACACACACTCAAAATTAATGGAGTTGATGTAATATAATATGCTGTAATGTGATGTGTATTGAATTATAATTTGAATTGGCAAGTAATTGAAATTTCTCAAATAATTGTGACCGTGAAGAAATTGATATCAAATATACATAAACGACAAAGGTCAAGAGAGGATCGAATGGTATTAGTAAAAGCTAAATCTTCTATTCGCAAAGTTCTCCCTTGCCAAATAACTAAGCTAATTAGATTTAAACAACGAACCAAAACCACGCAAATATAAATTACATCACATCCATTCGCTTAAATAACTGATAAATGTGGCTTCGAGCGTGACATATTCATTTAAGAATAAACAATCACGCGTCAATACGACACGGGATGTATAACTTGTGGTCGAACCGACTAGAGTTAGTGTGCACTGTACATGTGACGCAGAATGTACAGAGAGTGCGCTTGCGACTGTGTTCATTGTGTGTCGTACACCGTCGGGCGTATGTCCCAACCGGGCGCGCCGTTCCCCGCCCGCAGCGATGACGTCAGCAGCAGCCACTCCTCGATGGGCGGCAGCGACGTGCGCAGCGCGTGGCTTAACGACTTCTCGAGGTGAGGCACGTAGTTGGCCGTCGAACGTACGCCCGACGAGACAGCCAAGCTGGGTACTCACTAGCGACCTTGAAACCTGCCCGCGGAAAGTCAAAAGCTGGTGGGCAGTAGATTTAACCGTGGTAGGGCCACGCAACAGCTCCTGCTGTGGACGGATGTGATGGCTCGTCTGGGGAAGTACGCGGCCTCACAGAAGACAGACGCGAAGCGGAAGCATTAAGCTTTCGCGGGGCAATTGGGGCCCATATATTGGAAGGTCGTCGACGCATCGGCGAGCCGTCGGATGCTGTAGATGTCGATGGGTGCCATATTCGTTTAACATCAGGTGAACGGTCTGCTCGCTTGACAACTTTTAACGTTTAAAAAACCGACCACACAGCCCTATTGTGTACACAACGTTTTCTTCTAAAGATTTCAAAATATCGTTGAAACGAATTTACCAGCCTTTGTCATAAATTTAATCGTGATGACGAAACGGTGATCTCCTGAATTGTCGGTTAGAAGTTGGTGGTAGATACGGCGTACACGGTGTATAGCTCGCTAGTCAGTACCCGATTTAAAATGAAAAGAAACAGGTATCGCTGTTGAACGAAATCTAAGTCAACCAACTATATGTAGATTATGTAATAAGTAATATACACATATTTTCGTGTTTTAGTCTAAACGAGTAAAGGTAATGTAATAAGAAAAATCCCGTAGGCCCTCTTGCACATAACCCTTAAGATAGCCGAGCATGAAATGTGTTGATTTCTCAGATTCTGTGTTCAATGTTAGATTGTCCAGCACTGTCTGTTCACCCTTAAAGTGTCTGTCTTGAATATATAATGTACCCCATGATAGATGAATGGCATCGGAAATTATCTCATATTTGATTAGAATTATTTCATTTAGGCACCGTAATTGTAAGTATATACTGGTCGGTGACCAGTTTTTTTTTAAATTTTTTTTTTGATTCCTATAAGAAATTCCTTGAATATTGTTATATTTCTTATAAATACAGCTTTGCTTTCGCAATGTTTAATTTTTTTCGCATATACGATAATTTGGATTACGATTATAATTTAACTTTTCCACGATCCCGCAGAATCGTAAAGGGTTTCCCGCCCGTGTCACCGTTCATCGGGGTTAGTCCCACTTTGTGCTACCTCCTAAAAGAGAAGAAGCCGTTGTGCTGCCTGCAGTTGGCACAAGTGTGCGAGCATTGCGCTTACCGTAACGCCAAAGAGTACCAGTGGCAAAACAAGACGATTATCTTGGCGGCCGACTACGCTTCCAACGGGATCTACAACTTTATAATTCCGCTGCGAGCACATTTCAGGTCTAAGACTTCTTTGAATCCAATCATATTACTGCTGGAACGTCGACCGGACATTGCGTTCCTAGACGCCATTTCCTACTTTCCTCTCGTGTATTGGATGCTTGGCACCATCGATTGGTAAGACAGTACGTTAATAGTTTTAATAAAGGCTACAGTGGTCCAGAAATATTACAAGTATATTTCTTTCTAGCCTGGACGATCTCCTACGCGCCGGAATAACTCTAGCTGAAAATGTTGTGGTTGTCAACAAGGAGTTGTCCAACTCGGCCGAAGAAGACAGCCTCGCTGATTGCAATACGATCGTTGCGGTCCAAACTATGTTCAAGTAAAATATGTTTCATAACTAAATCTCAATTTGCACATGCGAAACATTTCCACCTTGCTAGCGATAACCGGCTGTTGTTTTTGATCAGCGCTTGCGCGTTTGTTTCTAAAAGAGTCACTCATTAATTATGACTGAAAAGCGCCTGTCTTTCCAGGTTCTTCCCATCTATAAAGTCTATTACGGAACTGTCTCAGTCCTCGAACATGCGCTTCATGCAATTCCGTGCCCATGACAAATATGCTCTGCATCTGTCCAAAATGGAAAAGGTAAAGGTGATGAAGATTTTTAACGTTCCCGAATATAAATTTGATATTACAATCCATAAATAATTGTATAACCATTATTTGTGTTTACCAATTTGACAGCGCGAGAAGGAGCGAGGCTCCCACATCTCCTACATGTTTCGGCTGCCGTTTGCTGCGGGTTCAGTATTTTCCGCATCCATGCTCGACACGTTGCTCTATCAAGCTTTTGTGAAGGACTATGTAATCACATTTGTCCGGCTGCTTTTGGGCGTTGATCAAGCACCGGGATCCGGATTCCTAACCTCGGTAAGCAAAGGAACACCAGAGTGTGAAGCGAACTTATCATTAATGCGAAAAGCTGGCGTGTTTTGCGAATATCTTCATCTCATCTTCATTCATTTCACTATTATGTCGCCCCGCGATTTTACTTGTATACATTTCGAGCGCAAATATGCGAAATATTTTGTTTACACTAACAAAGACATTTCTTGTAAAATTAATCATTGGAATTATACAGATGAAAATATCGAAGGAAGACATGTGGATCCGTACATACGGGCGTCTGTACCAAAAGTTGTGTTCGACAACTTGCGAAATCCCCATTGGGATCTATCGTACCCAGGACACAAGCCTGGCCGACCCCGCGCACCACGTGAGTATGTCGCCAGGGGCCCCGTCAAGGTGGTTTTGGTCACGCTTCGCGAGAATGCGACCATCGCGCACATCGGTGAGTTTGACAACTCCTATATCGGGCAATATACTCCTCAAATACAGTCTATCGCCAATGTCTACCGTCCACCTTTATAAATGTTACACCATTAATCCAAATTATGACTTTATTCCAAATTATTAAAATAACAATAATCAATCCTATATTGAGTAGTCCCTAGTCTTTGGACTGTATTTCGGGTTGTTTATAACATAACTTTTTGTATTGTCCTCGCGTTTAACTCATACTTTTTCCGTTTTTGTAAATTGTCTACATGTACATTTCAAGCCTCACATCTGTGGCGTGTCTGTAATTAGTTTTGGCATCAATATGACTTTCTATCTCTCACACAATACTTATTTCTGTTGTATCAGGTACACGCGCTTCATTTTTATTGTTTCTTCGCTGCTGTAGCCAAAACCAACATATGTTTGTTGCTTTTGTGTGAACACAGTCCTGCCAAGTTTTAACACCGACTCAAAACTTTTGGCGAACGATAGGGACCAACAGCTTTGAATTGTAACAAAGTACCTTTAAAATAAAAATAATAATTGCTAATAAACCGAGAACCATTTACTTATGACACTATTGCAAATTTCTCGATGATCGCAGTCCCGCATATGTCTGTTTTCTCTTACTCTGTAGTCTGTGTGATGCATGCTCTGTTATAGAAGCCTAGATGTGATACGATGCAGCATAAACTCATCTAATCAAATATCACTCAAATAACATATAAAACAAATCTATAATCTATGAAAAGAGCTGCTTTAATATTGAAAACAATTACATAATAAAAAGAAAATCTGGCAAAATGATACCGTATCGATTGCTTACGCTTACAGCATGCCTAGCTAAATGACGATTTAAAATAACTGACCGATATAGAGCTCTTAACAAAAAATTCCTATCCAAATATGGAATACAGAGAGTTTACAATTGAAGCATTCATGATAGCTGAAGTAGAAGCGATTAGAGGAGTTGCACTTTTGAGCGAATGTTAGGTATCAACTTCACGGCTGAGGCCGTGACGTGACTCAATAGTTGCAGCAGGAGGCGAGTGAGGGGGGCACGGAGGGGCGCGGGGAGTCGACCGGTTGTCTTGGCGGTTGTTATGGAGAGCGCACCCCCGCGGTAAGCTGCAGCTCCCCAACCACTGGCCCACCGGAAGATCCCTGATTCCGTATTTAAAATTAACCGATTGAATCTTTAAATTTGAGTTTAATTGATGAACTGTCGAAAAAGATCTGTCAGATTAGAACTTGCATCTGGGTGGCGCGCTGAGATGCCTTGGAGATTTCGAATAATAATCATAATATATTATATATATCGAATAATAATCATAATATTTCGGATACATTTTTTACACAACGTTCTCTAGTCCAAAACTAAGCAACGCTTGTACTATGGGTACTAGAAAACTGATAAACATACTTAAACATACTTTTCTTTTGTAAATAAATACATATTATACATATATAAACACCCATCACACAATATTTTTCCAGTAGTGGGGATCGAACCCACACCCTCTGGCGCAAGAGGCAGGAGAGGCAGGCATAGAATAGAGCATCTGGACGCCTCACCCAGATTTTGCATGTTCAATTCTTGCAGTTTTTTTTTTGGTAATTTATCTATTAAACTCACTTTTAAATTTGATCTCGAGTGCTGACTAACACTAAAATTAAAAAAATATATATCCATAAAATACCCGAATAACATCGATCTATACGTGCTCTTAATGCTTTAATATACCCCCATTTTGAAATTTTAATCCAAAAAACAGCCATTGAATAAGATGCCGTTAATTATAACTCACTTGTTCAAAAGTAAATATATTGCAACTCTCGGTAAACAAGTAGGAGTAAACGGTCGCTCTTAAATTTGAGGCAAAAAAACAGTTAACTAGAGTTGACAGGAATTAGTAGCAGAAATAGGAAACCACAGGACAGAATAAACATTAAAAGAGATCAGGTAAAATCAATTATTGTAAATATTATAGAATTTTTTTGAAAAATGATTAGTGCATTATCATAAAGGCGATACGAGTCGACTTGACATTTAATGAGCTAATTTCATTATCTAGATCGGTACATAGAGCTGTTAATTTTCTATTTATACTAGTTTTAGACCTAGACATTAGTAGTAGAAAATAAAGATCAGGAAACATTTTTTTGAACAGATGATTCCAAATAATTTTTATTAAAAAATTGGAAAACCTATATAGGCGTTCAGTTTTCTTCTATGTAAGGATTACGATATTTATCGTACACAAATAAATTTAATTATTAAATACAAATGTATATCATTTGTTCACTGAAGTACGTTTAGATATGAAATATAAAGTTTGTCATTTTTAATAATAAAGTAAATACCGTATTCCTCAAACGTTGGATGAACAATCACGTACCCGTACATAATTTATAATGTCATCTCTGCGAAACCATGCATGCTGACACTGTTATTACCGTCGAGACAGCAACAATAAAATATTCATTTTGACACCAAATTGCAAATGTCGCCCACATTTCAAATATATATTAACGCAATATATTATTGTTGATAGCTTTATTGTATAACATAATGAATGCTTGTGTAGTTGATAATAAGTTATATCACGTATTGTACGTTTTACAGTACTCAGCGAGTTTGGCCGACGAGGCTAGAGACAATCATATCCAACAAATCGAAAGGGCTGAAATCGCAAATCTAGTCCGCTCCCGAATGGAATCCCTCAACCTTACTGGAGTAGATTACGACGATGTCAGCGAGAAGAGGAACAGCTTGTCTTACGTCATCATAAATCCAAGCTGCGACCTAAATCTGCAAGAGGGGGATATAATGTAAGTAGTTTTAGTACTGACAATGTTCATCAGCTGTTCTGTAAGCTAAATGGTTTCAAACGATCTTTCGACCACATTTCAGATACCTGGTCCGCCCCTCGCCGTTCTCGGCCCAAAAGACCTTCGAGAGGCACAACAGCCGTCGCAAGTCCAACATCAGCTTCTGCTCGCAAGCCCTGGTCCAGGCCCAGGGGGCCGTAAGCCGTAGGGGCTCTTCCATCGGGGGAGGCTACCAGCAACAGCGCCCCCCGCTCTCCACGACCAAGGCCAACTCGCTGTCGCTGCCTGACAGTCCGACAATCCTCACGGACTTCCGCGGCCGCTCCAACTCGCTGCGCGTCGACGACGTCTCGCTCCGTCGCTCGAACTCCCTCCGCCAGGGGCTGGGTGGCGGGGGCCGCCGCCGCAAGAGCAGCCTCGAGGAGATCGGCATATCGCACTTCAACTCGCTGCTCCAACACCAGCAACAGCAGCAGCAACAGGATGCGGCCGCCATCAAGCTCGCCCTGAACGGCAGCATTGGCTTGGAGGTGACGCCACCGGAGGAGTACCCCGGCGACCGCATGCTGGCCGCCGGCCCGAGCGGCTTCATCCCCCTCGGCGGCTATCAGGACGTGGCTGCGGCCCTGCCCTCCACTTCGATGACTCCAACATTGCCGCCGCCGTCCCCAGACACCCAGCACTTGCAGGGCACCATCGTATGATACAATCTGATGTGGGGACGACGCATCAATTCCGTTCGGAGGAACAAACGGACCTAGACCATCGACGAGGAAAATGCACGGTTAATAAGAATAGAAATAGAAAACACACAAAAAAAAAAAAAAAAAAAGAAAAAAAAAAATAGTAGAAGAAAAAAACACAATAAATTTCCTTTCCACCTCTGTCCTCTCTAGGCTCCCAATCCTCGAAACGGGGTTATTTATCGTCGCGTCTCTACTTTGCACATAATTTTATCGTAACCAATAAAACTGTTCTCAATTTCCATGTGGTGTGGACTGGTAGCGAAGAGCTGTTAATTGTAAGAGGGATCAACTAGTTATTACTTAACGGGATTTACATAACAGCCTAAGGCAAGTGTATATAGCAGGGCTTACTTCTTCATTGAGTTGACACTGTATATAACCTGAACTTTGAAAAGACATACGTTATTCGTATCTAATATGTATAAAGTACGATACCTTCACTTATACCAGCAAAATATATTAACCATCGTAGTTATTAAAGATAATCAAACTTCAGAACTAGATTTAAAGCAAGCGTTACTATTATAATCTCAATTTAAATTTTTAAATAGATTCAAGTTTTAATATTTAATTCAAACTACATGCATACTCGTATTTATTATTCGTATTAATTAATCATTAGATTAGTTGACCGTGCAATTTATTAGCATCAATGCAGTTATCTTAATAAAGTTCGTGTACACACGATATTGGTGTTTTAATAACAAGCCCTTTTAAGTGATTATTTTCCCTTTGATTCCTAATTGAAATTAATTACCCCCGTAATTAATTGCCCCGGACTCGATTATGTTTACTTTATTCTATCTAATAAGAACAACACATGAGAAGTCCAACAATAATTCGATTTATATAATATGTACCATCTGTATTCATTTCCATATTTGAGTATTGATTAGTAGAGATTAAAACTATTATTAAACTCACATGTAGACATAGATTCACTTTAGCATTGGCAGTTAAAAACACAAAAAAAAATTTGCATGCTCGAACAAATAAAACCAATCGTGTAACGAAATAAACATTTACTGTAGACACCCTTGTTAAGATTCCATTACTTCTATCTAATCAAATAACTATTTAACAACTTGCTGTTAACCAAGGCTTCACCCGCGCGTTCAAAGGGAATAAACAGTTTTTTACTATATAGCTCGCAGATGGCAGAATATTTTTGAAAGAAGAAATTTACTTTACATTTATCGTTAATGTTTTGAAAAATGTACAACATATCTTTATAAATTATGGCTTATGTGTTATTCTTATGTATAAGATATATTATTATTGATAAATTTCATTAAAATACATTCCGTAGTTTTAGCGTGAAAGTTTATTTTAGACAACGCAATTTTTTTGGATGACAAGAGAGAGATAGTTTAAAGTTAAATCCATGTTTGTGCCACTATAGTCCCGTGGCTGCAGAAAATTTTTTAAAACATTTTATGTTACTAATTAAATTCTAAAACTTTGGCGCTGTAACTTTTGGTCATGAAACCAAAAATAACAAAGTTATTATCAGAAATAGTTAACATTTTGGGAACAAATTGCGTGCTCCAAATTTTACAATCAAATGTCAATCTTCAATGGACTAATAACAGTAAACAAGATTCGTATCAATGGTAGAAAATTGAGAACGAATACAATTTTTACTATTAAGATTGCGACAAAAATGTACATTAGGGAATATTGTAAACAAACAAAATAATTACATTCAAATGAAATACATACACAGTGTATAGAACAAAGCGTTGAAAATTGAACACACTCGCAAAACCAATTGACTGATCAAACTTAATGCGTGAAATTGTTCCATCATTATCTTTAGTACTCGTAAGAAGCCAACCTGTATCAAATGGACACTTATTCGCAATGTCACTTTTTGCACTCGTAACGATGGGCATGGTAATATTTAAATTTCAAAATTCTGTTTTTTTTTAACAAGCATTTATATAGTTTCACATGTATATATTTATAAATGTAACGGAATCTTTAAACGTGATTGTGCCCCACTTTGAACGATCAGATTTGAATCAAACTTTGCACACTAGTCAATGACCCATGACAATACAATAACATAAATAGTTTTCCCCATTATTCTGATCAGGACCTTCAGGATTAGTTATTCGACTGCAAGTACCCTGCGCTTCTCTACAATAAATGAAATTTTATTGTCAATCACATTATTGAACATTGTTTTCTACTTTTTAGTTCGGTTATCTCCAAAGGCTTTTTTATTTATTTTTTTATTATTTTTATGGCCGCACTTAGAGACCCCAAATAGCGCTAATAATTGCTAAGTTAATTCAATGCTAGTTAGGCGCTAAATGAGCTCTCTGCGGTCACTAGAAAACTCTGGTTATGATGTGCGGCTACAATGAGTAACTATATATTTTCAGATTATTTTTTTATCGGCTCAAAGTCAGGTACAAGGTCACCTTTTAATTACTATCTACCTTGATGTATCCTGTTGTTTTCATAGAGCACGTGGCAATCAAGCAAGTGGCCCAGTTGACGGTAAGTGACGACCGCCTCCAATAGAACTGTTGCCACTAACCTAACCTAACCTAACCCATTAAAAACTTGTAGAAAAAGTACGAAAAGATTGTCGCCGCTGTGGGAATCGAACAAACGTCTTCGGCATTCGTGGCCTGACGCTTTAGCCACTAAGCTAAACGGCTGATTGCCATATCGACTAAATTCTCAACGCCTTTTTATCTACATTGTGTTTTAGCATTTGAAGCAATGCTTAGCGCGTCCATTGTTATATCCTTTCCAGCACACAAACAATTTCGAATATCTTTTTACATCGATAATTCGAACGACACATGTCGCCATTGCTTTTTAGAAATTTAAATCTACTGCTTACATTTTTTAAGAAATGTAAACCATGATGGTTGTGGTACCTGTGGGAACGTGGGATGAATATCTCGCTGTGTGTTTTGGAACAGATTGGCAGAAAAAAAAAAACATGGGTCTTTTCTTCCAATGTTTTACTGTGTTGATACAATTTTATTAAACTTGTAATGTATTGTTGTTGAGACAATAATTTCTGTTTTGATTTTCACAAAGGAAAGACATTGCGAGGGTAAGGTGAGAATTTTACATGTGATTTAAGCTTATCGATTTTAAAAGTACATTCTTGCTTATTAGTATCAATTAATTTTTCAGTGTGACGGGTTCTCTTGTGTAGCAAATGTAAGGAATTTTACCATATCCTTCAAATTCCTAATTTCTGTTTTCATTACTTTAGATCTGATTTGAAAGTTTTTTGTAAACGACTACGATATAATACAATAATTCCATTGTAAAATAGGCATTTCACTTACATATAAAGGTTATTGTTTGTAGTTTATTGAAATTGATTTGAATTTTAACTACAATAACTCACGCACACACAGTATTAATCCTTATATCTACGGCTTAGCCAACAAGACCACATATGGACTTTTAGTGTGCTATTTTGGATCGCTGAACAAAAGACAAAGTTATTGTTCTTCTGATCAACAGTGTTCTGGCACAGAATCGATGGTGCTGGTAAGTTGCTTTATGATTATAAGTTTAATTTCAACTAGGGTGCTATCAAAACTAATATAATGGCCCAATATTATAACACACTCATCAACTTTGACCCTTATCTTTGGCAAATACCATCTTAATTTATAACAATCAAGCCTCTTTTAATAAGATGTTACAGTGTTTGACAATATTGTATGGAAGTTATTTTTCATCATAATTTCTGATGACCATAATTATTTTCCAAGGACCGCCACACAGTTCAGTGAAAGAAACCAACTACAGCTATTGGCTTCCCACAACTTGTACAGATCGCCTAAACGGTTTCGTGTTCCTTAGTTCGTATTATGCCTTATTCAATTTTATTATGTCACTACTGACTAACGTCGTTCTAATTTCACGTCTTTATTACGACTCTAATTACATTTCAATTTATTTCAAATAAAACTAAAGCCACCGGAAACATTTCGGTGAATCAATAATAATCGGAATATATATTGAAAATCGCTGAACCCGATTTTGGAATCGGGTCACGGACATGTAATATTTTGAACACAAATGTACAGTTATATCAATATGATTTTATAACGATTGAAATAAATACCCATTTGTGATACTGACAGTTTACCGTAATATTTTCGTAAATAATTTCAGGCCTCTGGTTTTGAAGCTACAGCGTGGGTAAGTTATGTGTCATGCTATAGAAATGAATATACGTTATATACGAAATATTTATTATTTATTTATAGAAAATAAATGACTTCCGACCGCTTTTTTTCTGGATAATAACTCCTTGTAAATCCTTGCACGGTCTTATGAAACTTATTAGTACTGTATATATAAAAGTAAAGTAAAGTAACAGCCTATAAATGTCCCACTGTTGGGCAAAGGCCTCCTCTATACAGAGGGTATCAGGGAATAGTCCACCACGCGGCCCCACTGCGGATTGGCGGACTTCACATATCTTCGAAATATTTTTATTTTGTTATTATTTCGAAAATATGCAGGTTTCCTCACGATGTTTTCCTTCACCGCGGAGCACGTGATAAGTCAGCACTTAAAGTTAAAAACCTCATTGGTGCCGGCACCGGGGATCGAACTCAGGTTGCTCGAGCATATTGAATTAAAGGCGAGCGCCCGGACACTGAGCTATCACGGCTCTGTATATATATTTTGTAAATAATATTAATAAATCATCTTTTTTCCATTCTACTTTTTAAATACCAAGGCCAGTGGCGAATTGTCTAATTCGGAGGTAATTATTTTAAACTTGAATCCCTTTAAACATGACTAATAAAGTCTGCTTATAGTGACATGCCGTCACATTCTTCTTCTACCTAGCATTTATCCCAGCAATTGCCAGGATCTGTTTTCCTACTTAAACTCCTCCACATGCCGTCACATTATGATTATAATATTGAAAAGGCTTTCAACAAAGTATTTTAGACACAAAAAGGGATGGAGTCGGAGGACCACCGTGACCAACGAAGTTGCTACTCTGAAATCTCAAGAAGCTTAGGTTTTATTTTGGAAAAAAAAATCTGTGCGCGTAACCTTAACACGTGGTTGAAGTAAACCTAAAAATACCGTTTGCTTAACCGTTACGTTCGCCCCGACCGATCACACGTTTCCGTAACGCGCTTGTCACACATTTACCAAATTACTCGCCAAATCCAACGCGCGTAAAGAAGTTTCACTTCAAAAACCTTGTTCGTGTATCAAACATGGTGATTACTGTGCATACAAATTTAATATTAAGACAAATTGAACTCTCTACATGCAGTTTCAATCATAAGGTGGTAATTACATTAACTGCGCACTCGCCATTCGCAGGCATACACACACAGCACAACGAGACGATTTCAATCAAGTCTCGCCTCGTAAGCGGCGATAGAATTATCATTCCAATAACTCTTCCTCATTCGTTTTATTTTACAGTGCCAAGGAATATTTTGTAGATCTCGCGTAAGGATACAATTTTAAGCTTTTGTTTATACCTATTATACAACGTGTCTTTACAATCGCGACAATAAATGAACGCATATAGAGGCTTAAAATTGTGTTAAACATTTACTTTCTTTAAACATCAATATTTACCGAGTTATTAAATTTTCCAAAACAAAGAATTTTAGAATACACTTACGAATAAAACTGTAACGTAAAGTTAATCTGTAAAGGTCACAAAGCATATGAATGGGTTGAATGAATTTAAAAGAGAAAAAACATAGAGTTAGAAGGAGAGGCTTGTAATGCGGCGCTGTGGCAAAGAATGAAAAAGTCTCTTAATGTATGAGTCAGTCAGTTGTAGTTGTACAGCATGTTACAAATTTTGTTTATTTTTTACTTAATTAGTTAATTTGAAAAATATTTTTTTTTAATTATGAATTTTTAACGTACATATTTTATGATTATTGGTAGGTAGCGTTAGACGTGTGTTCATTTATTGTCGCAGTGGTAACGACACGCTGTATATTATAGAATGAAATAATAATTATTCTTTTTGTGTTAACAATTACTTTTTTATTGCATTCGAATAATGCGAATAATATTTCTTTCTTTTTTAATCAACATACATAGTACCTAACATATAAGGTAGATAACCTTGAGCGTTTGATAGTGACGGGACGGTGTGATAGGGACGGGACGGTTTGATAGTGACGGGACAGTTTGATAGTGACGGGACGGTTTGATAGTGAATAGAGGGCAAAAAAGGACAGAGGCCGTACTCCTAAAAGGTGAGCGGATCAAATTTCAAAAAACCTGGAAATCCCCATAAGCGCCGCATTCCACCAGGCGACGGAGCGAAAGCGATGGAGACAGCTCGTTGACCGATTAAACAAGAGTCACGATCCTCAGCAGTGAGGAAACGACTAAGAAGAAGAAGATATAGTACATATCTACTACAGTGTTAACATACATTTTCGTGCATCACGCAAAATGATCACCTAATACACGTAATTATACTGTTGCAGTGTCTGACAGGGATAGAATCGTGTACATCACAGGTAAAGTGTAAATAAAATACATAAATCAGCCATTATTTTCAAGGGCATGCGGCTGAAAATGAATAAAACATTTTAATACAAAATTTTCCACCGGCTCAGCTATTCATTGCATGTATAATAAATAATGTAACAGCAATGGTAACGCAGAAACTCGTCCGTGCCGTCCGAAGGTTGAAAATATTTCGTAAAAATTGCACCACTGTAACTGAGATCTCGTTTCAATTGTTTATTTAAAGTCTAATAAGACCGTTTAAATTATTACAGTGCTAATCTCTGCACTTAAGATAACATATTAGATTTTTGGGGAGAAACTTCCGTTCCTTTTTTGTATAAAAAATTTAATGTTTAATAAGACCAGTTATACTTCTACCGCAAGTTTCAAGAGGAGAAAAACGAAACTTGAATTGGCCACCAAGTTTTTGCGTAAATAGCAAACATCGCAAGCAGTTTCCCGATAGATTACATTTCACAAGGATAAGGTTTTACAACTGGTATAGACAGCCAAGTGACACACAGCAATTACTAAGTTAATTTATACAAGTACTTGCTTGTATTATTGACCCCTCACATCTGTCACCCAGATATTTTACCGACGTTCTGAGCCATGCCTTAGCTAGTAGGATTTAGGGCACCTTTTCGTAGGCATGCCATCAGTCTAATTCACTCAGTTTACCCAACGCGCTCTCTTTACGTTCTATTCTACTATCTCAACCACCCATATTTATGCAGTTCATATATTTGATTATAGTGCACGGGAGAAATATGCAAGAGTATGGTATGTTATACAATTGTTTTACCACTTAAAGTTAGAAAAATGGGCAAACAATTATAGCTAATTATGTAAAAAAGCTCGCCCTATGTAAAAATAAAAACCTAAAATAGAATTTCACAATTTTTTATCATGTATGTCGCATTTTTTAAAACTTAATTGACATGTATTAATTCTTTTCAGTGTACGGGAGAAAAATGTTATTCTAAAGTAAGCTGTTAGTCATTAAATATTACACTTATGCGCTACAACCGATATTGTTTTCTTTTATTTACATTTTTAGAGAAATGTGTATAATGATAACTTACGGCCTAATCGAACACCATTCAGTGTACCTGGAGAACCGAGGAGTTTGTTGGGTAAATCGTGTATTTTGGAAATAAAAAAATATAAAATAAAGAAAGCAATGATCTGGAATCGAAAAAAAGTAAAAAAAAGAGTGTGTAAATGATCGTGACACGAACCACGGCCGTCTGTTTTGGGGCCGCCTGATTACCTACTGAGCTATTATAAAATTTTTTTTGCGGCAAAATTTACTGTCACATTCGAATGATATTTTTCATTCCCTGAAAATAGGGATAGAAGTACATTTTCTAAAATATACTTTTTTCTTATATGTATATATATATATATATATATATATATATATATATATATATAAGATTTAGAATTTCTTCTAGAGCCGTTTTAAGATGAAAATCATTTTCGTTCAAAATTCACCGCATTTGTCTTCTCATCGCAGTACTCATTCAGACAAACTGGACTCGAACAAAGAACATACTTTAATTTAGACACACGTATAAAATTTCGCAATATACTAGAACATGCAAATTTAGTCAAAAAAATTTGTTCGAAACACGATTTAAAAATTTATTTAATTTCAATAGATTTTCCAAACTTTTGTCTTAACATTGCATTAATGCATTGAGGGTCAAAATTTTGAGTAAAAAATATTTTGTCTGTAATAGAAATGTTTTCGGAAAAGAAATTTTCACACATAGTATTATTTAAAACGAAATCGTCTTTGTTAAATGGTCGAAGATCAATCTGACATCGTTAGGTCGTACCTTCCGATGCACCTTCGTCTAGATACTAAAACATTAAGTTTGTCTGAAGGTAACTGATTACTAAATACTACTACTCGTGTCTTGTATTAACTGATGTTTGTGCTTTCAGTCCAGAGACTATTAAAGCTTCATCTGACGCAGAACCGGTGGGCTAGCCAGAACCCACGGGTTTGGGCCCTCCGCTGTGGGTAGGGCCGCGCATGTGCTCATGCGTGCGTTTAACTACGGCATGTCATCTAAGGGCCATCGAAGTAGCGGTGCGGACCGAGACCCCGATGGCCGTCGACTGTGTTTTTAGCTAATCGGTGGCTGGGGGCGGTGAGAACCGCCCTGGAACGCGGGTGTACCTTGTGTACGCGTTGTATTGGTCTCGCCGTGCTCGGAGGCGAGGGCGAACTAATGTGTTTTTTGCTACACTAACTGTGTGTGTAGTGTTATCCGGCGGGACCCCCGACGGTGGGTCCGACGTACCTAAGTCCCCTTCCTCGACCAGGTCGATGAGGACGTTTCGCGGGCGACGCTTGTTGACGCTCGCGTTTAGATCGGGTTGGTAATTTGCTGCGCTTACCACCAGAGGGTTGGGATGATGTTCGGCTCTATCGATCGATCAACCGTTTGGTCAGGTCTTTGAAAAATTCGCGAATCATCGGGAGTCTGCAATCACTGTGCAGGTCGACGTTGCGTTGATACCACTGCGCACCGGTTGCGCGGCGGATGAACTTATTTTGCACTACTTGCAACTTGTGCAAGCGAGTAGGGTGCGTGTGGGCGAAAATCATGCATGCGTAGGACATGATTGGCCGTACGCAAGCTTTGTATAAAAGTATTTGTGTCTTAAGGACATTTTACTTGACTGGTTAGTTAAAGTGCTTAGCCGGCCGGAGACGAACGCGGCTCTGTTACGGACGTTATTAATATGCGCTGTGAATGACATACGCGAGTCGAAAGTGACTCCTAAATATTTTACCTTTTTCTCCCAGGGGAGCGGTTGGCCATAAAGAGATATTTGCCCTAGCTTTCTGCATTGGACTACTACTCGTACAATGATCGCTGGCAGGGGGTTAAGATGCAGTGTGGGCGTTTTAGAATATTCACACTTACCGTTCGCCACCTCCACTTAAAAATAATCGCTCTTTAAATTATCTTACTTTTATTAGTAGACCCATATTCTTAATTCTTTCAGTGTTCCGGTAATGGCTGTGAAACTAAAGTGAGTATGAGATTGAAGAAATCTATAAAATTGTTTAAGAAAGCATTAATGTTGAGTTGATTTTAGTGCGAGGGGAATAACTGCACTGCGATGGTGAGTGTTTTAAACGTACAATTTAGTTTACGAATGACTGAAGTCCTACCTATTTTAATGACAGCTTTGTAACTTCTCTTGAACTAAAAACATTTCGATTGACTGTTTCAGATTTGTTAGATTATAAGTTATTTCTAACTACCCTAAAATTATAGACTTATGTAATCGGAGACTGCCCCACTACAAACACCTGACGGCCGCTTAGTAAATGAATATTTAATTTAAAAAAAAAAAAAAAAAACCGCTAAGTACGGGTCGAATTTGCGCAAGAAGGGTTCCATTCGAATCTATAAAAACGGCAAAGAAATCATGTCTGCTGTATGGGAAAACCACATAAATATTTTTTTAATCTATTTTTTAATATATGTTGTTATAGCGGCAAGCGACATCATCTGTGCAAATTTCAACTGACTATCAAGGTTCATGAGATGCAGCCTGGTGACAGACGGACAGACAGAAAGACAGAAAAACCGAGAGACAGCGAAGTCTTAGTAATAAGTACGGAACCCTAAAAAGATGCTCGTATACTTTAATAATCGACACTACTCTCATTTTTGTCGAATTTTCATTTATAACAAGTTGTCACTAAAACTCCGCTACTTTCTTTTGTTCTAGTGCTACGGCGAGGATTGTATATCTTCTGTGAGTGTTGTCAATGATAATTTGGTATTTATAGTTTCCATTGAACACCAAGCGTGTCCGGTTTTCTATAACTTGTCATTATTGACCAGGATTTTTGGCGAGATGGAATTAGAGCAAGCGTTTTATACAGTTCACACTTGCAACGCCAGAGGGATAGTAGATGTTGTTCAGTCATAAAATGACGAACACTCTTCTTAATGTCTGTAATCATATCATTCTAGAATAATTAATTAGAAATAACATGTCCAGAATATCCATAAATGTATAATTATTAATAAAAATTTAATAAATATATAATTATTTGCTCATTCGATTGCTGCTTAAATTTCCACACAAACATAGTTTTTGTATCCTTAACGTGTTTATTCTATTCAGCGTCGTCTGTAGCTAAACTATTTTCGAATTCCAAATAGCGTATTCGTCAAAAGGGCGACCCCTCGTATAAAACCTAGGCATTATCATTAACAACGTAATTCACACGTTGAATTATGTTGTTAACTAAATTATTTTTCTTTTTTAAATATCATACAATTTATTGGTCTAATATTTACAAGTTTAAATCTATCTAAAATTACATATTATCTAATAAACCTAATCCATGCGGCATGGTGCCAGGAACGCTAGCTCCATTTCCTCGCTGAATAGTTATGCTTAACCTTTGAGCGAGAAAAGAAGGGAACTTAATTATGTTGACTATTATTACATAAATAAAAATTCAATCTGTTGAAGAAAATATTTCTTTCAGTGCTTAGGACTTAGCTGCATCTCGAAAGTACGTTATAATTTATTTAACTGCGGAAATTATTTGGAAACTACCTATTTTATCATGACGATACAAAAGTATAAGTTGTTTTCAGTGCTCCGGAGCGAACTGCTTCATGCAAAACGACACTTTAAGAAGTAAACAAACAAACAAAATAGCAAACTGAAAAAGAAGATTACGTAGTACAGTGTAATAAGTAATACATGAAGATACGTATGTGTTTGTCTGTTGTGCATTAAAACAATTTTAATAACTATACGAAATCTTTTCTTACAATTTCTTACAAATACGAATTTTTTGTTGGAACAACAAAACTCAGGTTTATTACTAATTAAAACTACCAAGAAAATTTCATTGAATTATTTAAATTGACTTATTTTAATTAATTCAAATACAAAATACGCAATTTAATAGATTAGTTAACTTAAAAAGATCTGGTATTTCGTATATTAAATAATTGTTTTACCTTACGTCGCTCAACCTATTGGAGGGTCATCCCTTTCCCATTAGTTATCGGTTCTAAAAGCTATTTATAAAATTATCAGTATACAATAATAGTAATTTTTCAAATGATTATATTTATTTGAATTTTCGAATATTTCAACGACCGCAATATACAGGGAGGCTTTTCTAAATGTATCCATTTTTTTTAAATTAAATTTTAGACAAATAATGTTATATAAAAATTATAAATATTTAAAATACTCGTCATTAATTAATTACATTCATTTGAACTTATCTCAAAAAGTGCGTGATTTATGGGCAACTTATTGAGCGATCATTCATAACTAACACGCACACAAGTTCGTTTCAAAATTATACGATGCATTTATGAATGACTACCGCATTGTCAACAAGTTTTTTTTTTTTTTAGGGAATAGAATGGCAATTTTTCGTTTTAATCGTTTATTGAAATAAAAAGTTTGTTTTTATTTCAAAAAACGAATTGACATAAAAAATTTTTATTTCAATAAATGATTATACTGCCGAGTCTGAACCTCCTGTGTGAAATTGGGCACCTTTAAAAAGCCACCGTGTATGGGTAGTTTACGATTTGTCAACTACATGCAAAGAATCATTAGACCCCGACAATTTAAGTTTTTTAAAAGAGGTTCGTAGGAATAGTCCCAAAATAATCACTTAAAGACATGCGTGAACGTTTTCCGGGGTCGAGCCGACATTCGTACGACGTAGGTGGAGCATCGTAGGCGTTTTTGTCGGTGCGTCACAGACATAGCCTGTCCTTTGCTAACGAGGGTAGATATGTCGTGTCTATAATAATTATTCTTGTTATTGATTATTTCTACTGATTTGTTCTGTTGTCTTGGGAACCATCATTTTGCTAAAATATAAATTGTGTTTTTTATTTGAAGGATGTTATGCTCCGTCCACCGTAATAAAAAATTTAATGTGATTTAGACACAATAATTAAGATTGATTACCGCGTTCTTTGTTGTCATTTCGATTTTATTATGATAAATGCAAAGAAAGACTGAAAGAATTTTAACTAATTAATTGTAAAAAAAAAAAAAAAAAAAACTTTCTAAAAACAAGCTTTTTATTTAATTGCCCTAAAAAAGGAAAAAATTACTTTAAATTATATCAAACCAATAAATTAACTACATGATTTACACAATCTATTAAATAATATAAAAGTTTTTCGTTATATTAACCTGTTCACTAACTAGTCTTGCTTTACATGATACTTATAAGTAAATTCTATGATAGAAAATGTTTCCTATAAAAGCTGCAAAAGAGTAGCAAAAAACTACTTTAAAAAATATACCCAAAATCAAAAGTCAGGGAAAACTAAGTTGACGTGCACGTTATTTCTGTGGAATACTCTTCGTTTCGACTAAGTTTAGGAGTCTAGAATTAAATTAATTATAACGTTACGAGATTTTTACTCTTCTGGAGCCAGAAATTACGTTGTACACAGTGCTCCATCACACTTTATGCGTACATTTTTAGTTGATGCGGATGCTTTTTAATCAAGTCACAATAAGTAAGTAAACGCAGTAAACTTTTCACCATTTGGGCGGTGAAGAAGGGGCAGAAGTGGTAGTTTCACTTGCTACACGAATATCGCCGAGGTGATGCGTTTTTCTCTAATTATCTATCAATGGTGGGATATGGTGAGGGCTATCGAAAATTGTTTTTTTTTTCTTTTATATGAAAAGTTGCCAAACGAGCAGACGGTTCATCTGATGTTAAGTGAATACCAGTGCCCATGGACATCTGCTACACCCGAGGGTTACAGATGGGTTGACAACCTTTTGAAAATTGGGCTCCGGCTACCTCACACACCAGACGAAACGCGAAAGTATTTGTCATACTTCCACCTTACGCTGGTCTTCTATGAGGTCGTGGTACTTACCCGGATGGGCCTGCCCATTCGTGCAACAGCCGAGGCTGTTGTGTGGCCCTACCGCCGTAAAATTGTACACAAGTGTTCCTTAAAGTTTTTAAAACACCATGATACTTTTTACATTTTATAGTAAAAATATTAAGGTAGATTAAAGTAATCAAGTGTTGAAAATTAAAAATATGTTACAAATCAAATTAATAATATCACGTACACGTGTTTACACAAATATTCTAACAACCTTTTTTTTAAATAATGTATAAAAGTTTTAAGCGTTTCATGGTTCAGAAGACACTGAGAAAATGTAGTTTAGCTAAGCGGTTGAAGCGTCTGGGCGCGATCCGAAAGACGTGCGTTACAAAAAATTATAATATAAAGTTTCATCTTGAGTGCAGAGACTAGCACTAAAAATTAAAATTAACCTTAATAGTGTTACGATGGCCATTATTACTTTTAGTTTTGTAGTGGCCTTAACGCTTTAATATACAGATTACAAAAAGTACAATGCTATTTGCTTATGACATAAACCATAGACATGATAAAATCTGTCATTGGAACGTTTGACTGTTGACTGACATCCTCACTTGAATCGCGTATTCCATCGCTACGTCGCTACTTCGTTGAAGCTTTCGACATAGTTAAGGTCGAGGTCGAGTAAAGCTCTAACACTTTAAAACTTTGACAATAATAATTATTTTCTATCATGTCATTTCCAAGGTCATGCGATACTTTCGTGGTTATGCCTCCACTTACTAAAAATGACGAAGTTATATTTGGTAAAAACTCCGACCGGCCCCAGAATGAAGTTCAAGAAGTAATATACGTGAAAGAACGAGCTCGTTCTTCTAAATTAAAGGTAAATATTTTTTGGTATTTAAAATTATTAATAATTGCACTACGTGAATAAATTACTCACATTACCTAAGTTAAAGTAATTTAAATAGCCTTCGGAAAAGTTTATTAAAAATTTCAGAGTTAGTTTCAACAAAAAATGTTTATTTAAGATTTGCGAAAAGGAAATAATGTACTATTTTAAGTTAAATATTCATTAAATTATGTATTAATAAGTTTTATATTTTATGTTTGCGAGAAATAAAACGATTGACTAAACTATTCTTTATTTTATTATATGGAATTCTTAACTAGGGATTGTTCGCAAGTTTCCTAATAGAATAATTTCCATTTGGTGATAATTACCCTTATTACAGGGCCACACAGCATTCATAAAAAATTTAATATTCTTATAAATAATTTAAAAAATATATAAATCATCAAGTAATCATTGTCATGAAGTAAAATAAACATATTAAGTTACATCTTATACTACACTTTAGTACCTTCAAGTTTATATATTTTGGTTAAAATCAATATACATTTTCCTTAAATAGAATATAAATATTACTAACAAAGAATAATTATAACACCAAAAGTGTTTGTGTATAGTAGAAAACATCAGGATAGAATTTTTGCCTACATGATTAGTGTAAAAGTTAAGTTTGAACAGTTCTGTTATAGCATTTATATTTTTGTTAATGCATTTGATGTTATATGAATATGTTTGAGCTCAATGACAAAATCCTTTGTTTCTATAAAAGCTTCCAGATAGGTATTGAGAACTATTAAGTACAACTAACATTTTCAGATATGTCCCATGTGGCATATTGTAATATTTTGTTCCGCACAGTAGTCATTGGGTTTCTATAAATAAAGCAATTAAAACTTATGTCGCAGTAGCATCAGTATCGATGCAATCATTCCTAATAAATTTACTTTCCAGTCAAAACTTAATTAAATTAAATTTGCTTTCAAATTAATGAGATACCCAGAAGTCGACAACAATAAATTGATTATGTTATTAATAGGGTGTGATAATTCCAATGTCTATTTTAAAATTTGTTTAATAGTGCAGTATCATTAACTTTGTCTAGAACAGTTGCTAATTGTTGTTAGATATTATGAAATTAAGATATCATAGAAAATTGCCGGAATGAAGCAAAATGCAGCATTTTAGTATTTGATTTATTCTTTTGTGCATTGCGTTCAATGATATAAAATTGAAAATTCTTAAGATACTGATTAGTTTCTACACTAAGGTCCATTTTAATGTTAAATAGACACCTCAGCCCATCCCCCGATGTTGTAGCATTCAAAACTACATCATCCATAAAAAATAAAAAAGTGTGTGCGTGTAACCTTTACGCGCGATTGGAGTAAAACTTCTTTGGTGTTGATGGCATATATTACTGAAATGATTAAATATTAACTTAAATAAAAAATAAATAATAAATTTCATATTATAATTTAATTATATTTATTATTCATGTGCTTTACAAAGATTATTCAAATGTTATATTAATATTAAAATATGACATATACTTATGACGTTACTTCCGTCGGAAAAAAAAAATCTGAGTTACTCCCTAGTCGCGCCTAAAGAAGTTTTACTTCAAAACGTTTCATCTTACAAAGTGTTAATATTGCAGTGCACTTATATCACGATTGATGAAAGCTATAATCCAATAAACAGTGTTATACTAAGTAAGCCTGCTTGGATGTGGGGTGCTGAAATGGGTGCTAATAATAAAAATGTTGTTATTGGCAATGAGGCCGTTTGGACGAACAATAATGAGGGGGAGGGAGACGCCCGGCAGAAAAGACTGCTAGGCATGGATTTAGTCAGGTACGCTATTAGCACAATTATTTGAGTAAGTCTATACTTCTATTGTACCAATCCATGAATATCATTAACTGTTTTGTATTTATGTCCTGCACGGGCTAACTTGTTTTTTTTTTTTATTTTATGCATTGCGAATTTTTCATTAACTTTTATGTGTTTATTTAAAGTATGGCACTATAAAATATTGTGTATGCAATAAGTTTATGATGCTTTAATAATATTATGATAAAATGTATGTTTTGTCTTAATTACTCAATTCAGAGGTTCAGTTATAAAAGTTTGTTTGTCCCAAAATTTCATAATAGCAGTTTCTGGGAAAAAAAAAATAAGTAATGTGATTATGTAACAGTTATATCTTATGGAAAATCTCACCAAATTGAATTTGTTTGAACTAGTACCCAATATCTCATTCTGTGACTCAGATATTACACATTGGACCTGTTGCATTATTCATATGCATCTTTGATATGACTTTTATGGTGAAATAAATTTATCAAGAATTAAACAAAATCCACTCAGGGTTATGTCAACGGTTTATTCCATTCACTTATTGGATGATATTATTTAGCTTTATTAAGAATCTAAGTTGGGGTAATTGTAAGTTATTTAGATTGGAAAATAGAAATGTACAATTATACGAGTTGTATAGGATGTTACAAATTTTGTTTCTTTTTTACTTAATTAGTTTGTTTGAAAAATATTTATTTTTAATTATGGATTTTGTTTAACGTTAATATTTTTTTATGATTATTGGCAAGTAGCGTTAGACGTGTGTTCATTTATTGTCGCGATGGTAACGACACGCTGTATATGTATACAGAATAGATATATCCGAAATCAATGGAAATAGCAAGGGTCATATTGTCTTGATTGGGGTTGTCTTGTTTACTATCCGTCAATAATATTTATATATATTGAGCAAATTTCTGTTGTTTTGTCTTTATGTAGGTGTATATGTGTCTAACGTATTGTTTACATGACATGATGGCAATGTGATCTGAAATCAAAATATAGAGCACAATTCGAGTTTAACAGTTTGTACATGTACATTTTTCCTTTATTTTTTTTCTTTCTTCTTCTTCCTTTTTTTATTTTCCTTTATTTATACATATAATATTCTATGCGTGTATGTCACTCCTAAACGGCTGGACCGATTTTAATGAATTTTTTTTCTGGAATGATTATTTCTATGGTTTAGATGCACTATTTCGCCCGCTAAAATATATTTTAATTTTTTTTTTTATTTACAAGTTCTTGTCGGATTAAAGTAGTGTGTACAGGACAACGTCTGTCGGTCTCGCTAGTTTTATATATTTCTTTTTTTTTTTTTTGGTTTGTACACAAATGCGGTCGTTGACGACGGTACAATACAATGCACCACGTAGTGTGTTCAGTTTCAGACGCCACAGGTGATGACATGTCATGCGAATTGAACTATAATTTATCCGTCCAACAACGTGATCAAGAAGGTCGCCGTTCTGCGTCGTGCGCAGAACGGTTCCGGTTACGATTCCGTTTCGCATTCGTCCTTTTTTCTTTTTTCTTGTTTTCGTCAAAGTATCGCGTACGTAAACAAGACATAGTGAAACTCAGAATTCTATATAATAATTAAATCATAATCATATGATTCATGTGCCTATAGACTTACAAGAATGCTAGTCCCAAGGAAGGAATGGAAAACGGGATCTTTTAAGGCAACTGGCAAAGGTAGTATGGCGACTTTATATCCATCCGTTGGGATAAGCCCAAAGCTTTCTCCGATTGTTTTGCTAACTTCCTTTTAGGGTTTGTTTAAAGTGTATGTACCTGTTATCCGGAGTGGTAAGCAATTGTTAAGAAATCGATATACTACTTTTTAATAATTATTCGATTCCTGAGTCCGTCTTATATCATCTTTAAACGTACATACTATGCTCGTCACTTACGAACTAACATTAAATCCCCTTTTTAGGCATCGTCTGAATAATAGTTTTAGTTTGCGGCGAACACTTTTAATTAATTTGGTTAATTTAATTTAGACTAAGGCAAAGGTTTCCCTTCCGGTCCTTTGTTTGTTAAATATTAACGCGTTCCTTCCACAATAACTGTACCACTCTTTGTGTTTGCCTTTGGGTGTTTCACAAGATCGTTGATTTATCTTACGTTATACGAGTGCAGCCACTGCGAATAGCTTGCAAATGTACTTGTACAAGTTGTAATACGTTAGCGTAGATAATTATTTTCGAGGATGTAATATGTCACGCGGGCGTATCTCCGTGACCTCATATCTAGTAGTGTCCGCTGCTCGGGGTCTCCTCATGGGTCCAATTATCGCCAGGTTGGGCCTGGAGAGGGGCAACTCCGCCGACGAAGCGCTGGACGTGATCATCCAACTCCTGGAGAGGTACGGCCAGGGGGGGCCTTGTTCCGAATTCGACGACAGCCATTTCTACCACAACTCGTTCTTGATAGCCGACTGCCATATAGCCTGGGCACTGGAGACCAGTGGTAAGATGTGGGCCGCCCAAAGGATCACCAATGGATTCAAAAACATATCCAACGGCCTGACCATAAGGTCCAAAATCGATAGGCACTCGGAGGGGCTGCTAGAGAAGGCGCAAGCTATGGGCCTGTGGAGCGGTAGGGTAAGAGACGGTTGTTTGTGTTGCGTAATCTGTTGCTTTTCCCGTGTGCTCTTTATTTTACTTTTGTGTTTTTTTGTTTCTTTTTTTCTTGGGATCTGGCCAGCGCGTGGCTACTGTCCCGCCTGGTAATCGAAGATGCCTTACTTGGCAAATGCGCGAGCTCGAAAAAATCGTAATAAAGCTGAATTATTTTGTATTTACTTATCATTTACTATATTATTATATGTTATTTGTAACGTTTAAATCTCGATGAACTCGAAGAGGTAAGCTGTGACCTCTATTTTGGCCCTTAAGTGCCTAAACACTTTAATAGCTATCGCGTAATTTCGACCGCTGAAGTAAGCATGGTGCACTGTGAAGCTATCAAACTACAAATTGAGATTGTAGATCATCACTTTCCGGCTACCCGGCCAGCGTTAAACAACGTATCTCGTTGTGTTCGCATCTATCAAGTACGCGTTACAATTGCAGTGTAGTACTGTCAGCTAGACAACTGGCCATGCAACAGTGTATCATACTTTTTCTACACCTCAATCATTTGCACGCCACCAGCGTCGAGCGTGAGCAGTGTGATTCCGCAAATAATAATTGTCACGAGTTTATTCGGGCGGAAAGAGGGTGCCGGGATTGCTTATTCAGCGTCAGTATTTGCGTAATCACACAACACTATATATACAAGTATTAGTTTGTTTTAACTCGAAGTACATTCCGACAGGCATATAGACCCTTCCTTGTTCATGAATAACAGATGGATTTACAAAATCCATCTTGTTTTATCAGTCGAATGCAGATAGGAGTTTTTTTTTAAATCTTTATCGGTGCATTCAAAAGGAGACGTTCCGACGTCTCGTATCCAAACGAGTCGCTAACCCGCATAGTAAAGTTCGCTTCGGTCGATTCGTTTGCCGCAAGCCCAGATTGTTGTCCGTACTGCTTATGCATGCCGTGTACGCGCGACGATTTCACGGGGTGTCTGGGAGCTGTGGAGTGGTTCCGAGAGCAGATAGTTCGGTATCAGGGCCAGTTCGACTTCACCGAGTGCTTCTCCGCCGGCGGCGACGAGCGACGGCTGAAGATAGGCGAGCGCCTCCTCAGGCAGGGCAGCGCCACGGGCGCCTTCGGTGTCAGGGAGATGTTCAGCGTGCTCCGCAACAAGAGCAGCGGCATCTGCCGCGGCCCCGAGGACACCTTCCCGACGCAGGGGAGCCAGGTACGCGTACAACGCACTTCAACACACACACGCAAAGGCTAACACATGCTCATTCGAATTGCACATACACACACACGCACGCACGCACGCACGCATTCCAATACACATGTAAACCGCCTAGATGGTTAATCAACCTACACATCCAAATAAGACAGATCGTTTTAAAAACACTGAACACTACAATATTTTCGGAATGTTCTTTAGCCCCGAACTAAGCAACGCTTGTACTATGGGTACTAGAAAACTGATAAACATACATAGACATACTTTTCTTTTGTAAATAAATTCCTATTAACTATACATATATAAACACTCAAACACTGTAAAAACATATTATGTTAATCACACAATATTTTTCCGATTGTGGGGATCGAACCAACAGCCTCTGACGCACGAAGCAGGTTCAGTACTCCCCACGCCAATCGGGTATTCATAATATACTAGTATATGCCAATAGAGCAAATGCAATAACTAATTGTACTACTTTCACAATCCATTCCATTCGGACACAATACCGAGCTGAAATATTATTATGCTATTGTATTTATTTATAATTAACAAAGGATTAATTATCTTTTGCCATGAATTCTTTTTTTTACAATCGATTTGAATTTTATGTCGACTCGAGATGATACTCTCCAAGATTTCAGTGATTCATATCGCTCGTGAAACTACACGTAGGTGGGTAATCGCCAATAAAGTAGTCAGGATATATGAGCATAGATCGTATATGTAAATCGATGATAGATTACGGTGATATTTTTATTTGACGATAGGTACGATATGTATAGAACTCGCGGAGTTTTTCACGGGGGGGGGGGGGGGGGGGGGGGCATGTAAAAGCTTATATCGTTGTATGTATGAGTGAGGTAACCGGGGCTCGTTTATTTTTAAAGGTTGTCAATTTATCTGCAAGCCGTCAGGATCTAGATGTCCACGGGTGAACCGCCTTGTCGCTTGACAACTTTTTAATCATCGTCACCTTCGACGTGAAGAACTCTTGCAATTACATACTCATATGAGGGCCATTCCAGATTAGTGCCAGGACGCTAGCTTTTAATTCAATATACTCAAGCTGGGTTCCAACCCCCGTCACCAATGAAGTTTCTATTTGCAATTTTAAACGGTGAAGGGTAAAATCGCGAGGGAGGCTATTATTGACATAATAAAAAAAAAATATTTAGAAGATATGTGAAGTCAACTGGCGGTGGGGTCGCGTGATATATTTTTTTACGCGAGAAGTTGACAAGGGATGTTCACCACCCGGTATTGAATGTCAACCTCCGTCCATGAACCGTTCATGATCCAAGGCAATACCCGTAGGCCAGGCTTTAATAAAGTGGGCTCCGGCTACCTCACTCAGCAGAGAGACGCAGAAGTATAACACTTCCACTTACACCTGTGAGATCGAGGTGCTTCCCCGTACGGACCTGTCGGATGACTGTTGCGTGGAAGTATACAACTTCCACTTGACATCTGTCTTCTGTGGAGTCAAGGTACTTCCCCGTACGGTCCTGCCGGAAGACTGTTGCGTGGAAGTGTAACACTTCCACTTGAGACCCGTCTTATGAAGGTCGAGGTTTCCCCCCGTACGACTGTTGCGTGGTCCAGCCCAGCAGTGGGACACATATGCTGTTAGTTTACTTTTTAGTTTAAACATTAGTAAAGAGGATTGGTACGTGCAAGTTTTTGTTACTTCGTTCCTCTCTTTGTTACGGGGTATTTGTTAAAGGTGTCCACTTTGTCTGCTCGCGCATTGTGCGTGCACTGGTTCACCGCTACACCGGATCCCAGCGTCTCCTACTTCAAGCCTTTCATCTTCACGCCCAACGCTCAGGTGTCGCTGATGACCGCAAGCCCCAACGAGGTAATACCCAAATGCTACCAAGCGGTTCATCTGATACTAACTGATTACCACCACCCGTTTATATACAAAACCCCTAACAAGCCTCACAACACCAAACGCAAATAGTTAAAGACTTCCCGACCCCATTCAAGACGAATTTGACGTCATATAATAAAATATTGTAACATCACTATAAAATGCTACATCCATACACGCACCGTTCTCACATGCCCTTATAACAGTTTAATAGCAGAACTATCAAAAATTTACTTCAATCGCATAAAAATTTTTGAAAGAGGCGAGTAAACTTATCAAGTACCGAAAGATTGAGGGATTAAAATGGTCAGTGGTGTGGTAGCTGCTTTTCATAAAAAGACGCTAATGTATCGCTTATGTCTTCCGCGCTTTGTAACACAAAACTGTGCATAAAGTATTATTCTCGCCATTTTTCTCCCGTAGAACGATAATCTTTATTCTTATTTAATACAGCCCTAGTTCACATGTTGATTTCATGATTTTAATGCGAATATTATAACATCGTGAAATGAAACTATTTTACTTTCATTCAACCCTTTCCAGCGTTCATGGTCTGCCCCGTGACCGTGAACGCTGGGATGGGTTCGAAACGTCGGGAATTTAAAAATCTAATTAAACGCGATAAAATCCCTAAAACAGTTTCATCTCTACAAACGCACTGTCCCCTCTAAAGTCACCACGCTCCGTCTAAGGCTATTCGTAAACGCTTTCTCGTTCATATTTCCATCGCCTTCCCCACCAAACCGTTCGCGACAGCGCCGGCCGCCGTTTCGTGTATAAGCTTACGTCGAAACGGCACCAGCGCTGGGGTGTTCCGAACTCGGGTTTCCTTCGTCCACCGCGCAGCCGGGCTGGCAGCATCAGCTGTACAAGCTGCACGCGCAGCACCTGCAGAGCGGCCACAAGAACGCGGTGGGGCGGATCCTGCGCGACCTTGAGAGGGGCTGCCTCTCCGAAATCGAGGAGTACGACGGCGACCCGACCACCGCCAGCGACCTGGACTGCCTGATGGTGAAGTGCACGGAGGCGGAGGCGAAGCTGTATGGGCACAACGCCCCGGGGACGGTCGTAGAGGAGTTCTCGTTTTAGATGGCAGCCGGGTTCCCGCGGGAGCAGCTCTCTCCCCCTCACTATTCCTTTGCTTTCGCAGTTCCAACGTCTTTTACTGGTTGTAATAGGCTGTCGGATGACATGATTTTCCCCTATTCATTTGCCGTGTTTTTAGGCGTTTCCAACGTTTTTCATTTATTGTACTGGCAGTCGCGTGCTCGCGGGAGCAGCACTTTCCCCCTCGCTATTCTTTTGCTCTCGTAATTGTGAGTGTAGCCTGATACGTTATTTTTCTGGCTATAACTGGCTCAGTTACCGGTTGTTACCGGTTACGGGCCGTTGCTGCTGATTTGTAACGGCCACTCTTGGGAGTGATGTAACTTCCGGGAATACATTGTTGCAGCTTATTAATGGTTAATTTTTTAACCAATTATCAGTCTATTACTGTTGTAGAGTAGCGATATTTTATTTTTACTTTTATATTTTCAATAGTTTTACTTATATCCTTTTTGATATTTTAATTATTTAGTTGTTTAAGATAACGATCGTTAATTGTCTTTGCTATTACAGTTTATTATTATTACAAAAATCCAATGCCTGTTCACGTTGTCCGAATAATTATTATGGTATTTATTTTTCCGCAGCGTCATGGGTTCCATTTCTTGAAGAATTAAAATGTTATTCATATGTGCTCAACGCCTGCTTTTTGCCATCGGCTCAGGCTCCGGCGCATACAATAGCGGGTTCGATTCCGAACGGTACTTAACATATTGTGATGTTCGGGTTGAGCTTTTTAACTTTTATCATAAAAATATATTTATACAATTATGTTATGAACACATAATAGAAAAATCAAATTTAAACTTAGTCGAAATCGAGTGCTCATTTAGTAGTTTATGTTCAAAGGAGAATTTTTAAGATAGTCTATTAATTGTTTCTATTATTGTTAATATCTCTAGGACACTATTATATAGTTCATACTTATAATGTTTCGTGTTCTTGATATATTTCATACATCTATATGTGTACTTTCCGACATAGTTTATGTTTCACGTTACTGTTTTATTGTTCTTCTTTCAATTAGAGAAATGTGTTATACGCACAAAACTTTGATTAGAAAAGAAATCTTGTGCATTTTATTACAGCCAAAATGCCCGTTTCAAACTGATCTTTGTTTAAAAACCAGTCGACGAAAAACCATCAACCTGTATACTTAGTTTTGTTAGGTCACTAATAGTGATGGTCGCAACGAGGCTTTTGGGCGTAAAGAAATAGGATTGTTGGGTAAGTTTATTACATAGTGAATTATACATTGAGAAATAATTTATATACAATTGGCAATTATGCTGGTACTATTTACCTTAGAGCTCTTGTTAAGCTGTTCTTGTTAAGCTCTGGCAGTTCGTTAAATATAAAAATTGTATAAAATAATCGATTTTTAACATTTGTATACTAATTTATATTTGCCGTAAGCTAAGACATGGTCTTGGAATATATAGAGGTCGTTTTACTTGCAAAGTAAAATTCTTTTTATTTATTTATTATTATTATTGTGATTTTAAATTAATTTTGTTTCTATTGAAATATAATGTTTATACCTTCATATAATGAATACGATTTGTTACTTGAAATTATTTCTTGAAATATTATGTAAGCTTTATGGAAATTTAGGATAAAATGAATGTTTTAAATCTATTTCTCAAAATTAAGGAACATGAACTTCGCCTACGTATTGTCTAAGTTAGCTATGTAAGTTATAGAATATTGTAGAATAGTCTACAGTTTTCATTTTTTTACTATATGACTTATTTTCTTTTGCTATTTTTTTTATTAAGATGACCTTATTATAAAAACGTTTCATGACATAAACGTAGTCTATGATTGAATTATAGCGGACTGTATTCAAAACGAACCAAAGACAGATGCTTTAAAATTTATTCATTGTGCTGACGTCAGAGATTTCAAAAACAAACCACGTGCTTCCTTCTCCACTTCAGTGCATTTTGGTGCCATTTTAGTATACCTTAGTCCTATAGATATAGAAGACTGCATCGAATTAATTGACAAAAGACACTTAGGTTGGGCCATCAAAGTATAACTCTAATAGCCAAAATTAAACACGTGTAATATTCTTAAATTTTTAAATGATATTTAACCACCATCGCCAACTCGAGCTCGTATTTCTAAACACTCTTCCTTTGCATAAAGCTACATTATGAGATGTTTCTCAGGATATATCTTCAGACATAACGTCCGCCTATAATAGTTTTTAAAAAACCAATTTAGTGTAAAAATTATTGTGTGATGTGGAATAATTGGGTACTTAATGCGGTAAATTAATCGGAAATCAGGAAGCAGGAATATTCTTCATTGTCTTGATCGAATTGTTATCAGCTCGCTGCTTATGTTTTAAGGAATTCAGGCATGTATATATTACGTAAGAATAGTATACAATTGTTATCTATTCAAGCCAACTGTTGGCGTCTATCTCTTGAAGAATTGTTATTAAATTCATTGTCCATAAGGTGACAGACTAATGTGTGAAATATATCTCAGCGTGCACCTCCGTTAAAGTTTGCACAAATATTTGGTGCTTTTATAAAATAGTTTTCTCTGCAGCTTTTTGTTCTCTGGAGTAATTTAGCGTATGGTATTATTAAGATTTACAAATGAAAGTAAAGATGTTTGACCATGTAAATATATGCGTTCGTTCAGTTGAACAATTCTACAAACTAATACACAGTGAAAGCAAATAAAACAAATTTTTTACCATATCTAATACGAACTATTGTTGCATATATTGTATTTAAATTCTGAACGTTACGAATGTCATAATATTCATTCTCGTTCGATTTAAAATAGTTTAAAATGAACTTACACATATTTAATTATAAATTGAACTTTGTAATAGTTTTAATTATAACGATACACATTCGGGTATCACCACGGAACTATCATGCGGAAATATCATTGTAATATCATATTTGCAAAGCAAAGGTTATTCATTAAATAACTTTCGATAGTCTGTTAAATCGCTAGATGACTTGATAGTGAAGACTTAATAGAACAGTTTAAAATATATTATATGTATGTGTATATATATATATACGACATATCTTTACATACTTAAGCCATAGATAATAGAAAATTTGATACAGAAAATTGAAAATTTCATGAGCCTGTCCAAGGCTTTGTTGTTGGCGCATGTTGTATGACTTATAAATGTAAGGCGTCTAAGACATTCGGATAATACAGAGACTGGTAAAGACGGGTGAATAGAAAGAAAAAAAAAACGTATTCCTCTGTCATTCCATACATTGGAATCGGGGTTGGGTGTGCCTGGGCTATTTCAAAAGTATCGATTTGTTGTGTCGATTTAACCGATTTTTAGTCTCCCCCGTGAGTTTTAACCGCAGCCTTGGGAAATTTAATAAAAAAAAAAGTTATCGTATAATTTAAATCGTGTTCGAACACGTACCCACGTACAATTCTATAATTTCTTAATAGGATATGAGTTCCTTACTTGATATTTCATCATCAGTAGATTTTTCGTTAGCATTTCGTTTTAAAGAGACAATAATAATGGCCATTACGCGCCCGCTGTCAACAAAAATGAACGATTGTGACGTCACATCCGATCTGTCATTTAACGCTTAAGGCCCATTTACACGATGCCATTTTCTTAAACATACAAGAGCAATAATTGAATGCAATAAATTGCGCGCAATAATTGTTTAGGCCATTTGTTGTTTAGACCATGCAACTCATTTATTGCTTCAATTTAATTGTATAAAACAGGCAAGAAACTGGCACCATGTAAATGGGCCTTTAGTGTCCAATCACAATGAATGCGATATTGATGAATTTAAAAAAAAAAACAGGCATTCCTCCAGCACCTGATTTAAATTCAACTTTAACTTTAGCGAAATCCAGATTGTTTTTTTATTAAATTCGTGTCGAAACGTAATGCTGGTCTCAATAATAATTTTCAGATGCCTAAAGACTTGTAGGCCTAATCAATTTAAGAACGATCGGCACCTTATTTTTTTTACTTATTTACAAAATTTTTTTATATTAGCATTATAATATTTTTTTGTTTCGTCGAATTTATCTGCCTAACTAGCCTAAATTGATTTGTCTTATTTTCATTGAATTAAATGTAATTATATTGGAATAAAATTTTATTGTATCCCATAAATCTTTTATTTAATACCTCAAATTCCTAATTTCTCATTAGAAAATGCCAACTTAGGTAGGTGTTTATTTTTTCAAAAGAAAATTTTAAAGCTCACGCATTAAATCGCCTTTTTAGCTTTATATTTTGTTACGCAATATCTTGGGCAAGTTTGAAATGTGATAATGTTTTCAAAGCATGGAAAGAATCCACCTTTTCCCGATTGAAACAAAAAACTGGTTCATATTTAAAAAGATTAAAATTATTATTTTTATTCGGCCTCTTTTCTCGTGAAAATGCATATTCAACATTACATAGTGAAATAGATAATATACGACGTTGATTTCTCATGTTGATGATTTTATATTTAATTTGTTACTGGGGGTGACAATTATCTTGAATGGCGCCTGTTGTGCATTTCGTTTCCAAAATGTTTGTGCCTTGCGTTTGGTCAACGGATAAACGATAAAAAATTTAAAAGGGTGCGTCCCAGTTACGTCACATTAAGAGATATAAAGTACACTCGTGAGCAAAAAACGTAACACACGCCATAAGTTTGCGGTTATTATATCTTCGTCAAGGATCTGATCTGCTCAGATTTATTTATTACTAGCTGCCCGCGACTACGTCTGCGTAGAATAGGCTCAGGGCGTAACATTCAGGCAGAAAGACATCTGTCTTTTTTCATATATATCTATATATAAAATATGTATATAAATCATAGCCTATGTCTTATTCTGATGTATAAGCTATATTATTGTAAAGTTTCATTAAAATCCATTCAGTAGTAATTCCGTGAAAGAGTAACAAACATCCATCCATACATACAAACTTTCGAGTTCATAATATTAGTAAGGACTAT